TGTCCGACAGGAAGCTATTTAATTTGAGACAGTCTGACAGAGACTTAATGGGAAACGATACAGACAGGTCATCTGCATATTTGACGAAGTTGATTTCATCTGAGAGAGGTAAATCATGTAAGAAGAAGGAAAAGAGAAACGGAGAAAGAACAGCACCCTGAGGAACTCCAGCTTCAGTAAGCAATGGAGAGGAAGATACACCATTATATACCGTGTACTGCGTCCTATTAGAGAAGTAAGAGTGTAGCCAGTTGATAGCCCAGGGTTCAGTTTGTGCAAGGTTAATCTTGTTTAACAATAGGTCTCTAGGTACAGAGTCAAAAGCAGATGTATAGTCAAGGAACGTACAACGGACAAACTTGGCCCCTTTGTCTAAGGAAGATACAATGTTGCGATGAAACACAGCAACAGCGTCCAAAGTACTTTTACCCTCAATCTTAGTCTAAATTTACTAATCTTCATCCTCCTCCAAGTTAAAATTTGATTGTTCATCATTGATTTTGAATATTTTGATGATGTCAACAATACTCCATACTAATTTTTATTCTGATGCTATGGAAACGCACATAAAAAAGTAATTACATATACCATTCAGCCAGTGAGACCCGATTCAATGGTCCATGGATTCTAACTTCTACCTATTCGTGATTTTAGCGTGACCACCAACCAATGTCATCGGCAGGAAATTCATCCCCTTTGCCGGCTGGATGGACCTCACTGGTCATGACATCTCAAAATAATTCGAGGAAACCACAGGACGGAGTTTCCTGGAGTTCTATTGTTATAAATACACGGATGTACAGCCTAGGTGGTGACTTCGTCGAAAATAAAATTTTCTTCGCTGCAACTGTCTTCTTGATATTAATCCCTGGTCAAACTCAAAAAAATCTAATACTAACAAATCAACTCCTGAGAATCAGTGAAAAAAATCTTCTCTGAACTATTTGTTCTTAATTCAATTATTTTCTGCACCTGAAATATGATTGAAGCTTCTCCTCTATCTAGTTCTTTCTGGTTAACACTAAGTAGAGGGTTAACCCTCTGAGTATATTTTCTATCCATTCTTCCATGCCTGAAATGTACTCTTGAGTATATGCTGTCAGTTAGATACATTTGGTATTGTGTACGGTATCGGAAAGGCAAACATATGCTTTATTTAATTCAATTTTAGATATTTCCGTCAATTGATTGGATTGAAGTGCTCGGTTTCAGGTTGACATGTCGGCTTCTTGTGCAGATGCTTCGATGATATCTGGAGAAGTAATTAGAAGCTAATTGGTGGGAACATCATGACTCACTGTGGAATGCAGGTACATCCAGTGACGAGTCCCAAATAGGACGAAATGTGCATCCTGGATTCCATTGCTAGTCACCATCCACCAATTAAACACATGCTTTGTCCCATCCTGGGCTCAGTTAGACATGCTTGCACCTGTGTTAGTGTCATTCTGAAGATTTGAATTCTATAGACTCATCTTTACAAATGAAAGCGTATTACTATGTTTTCATAACGGCAGCTGGTTCTAAAGTTATTGTGTGTTTCCACCTTGTGTTTCTACCTAACAGTTAACAAGTATCACAAGCAACATTAGAACATTCGTAAAAGGGAAACCATGTACCAGGTGTATAATCTTCAACGTCTCCAGCAGGATTAATTGGATTTTATCCTAATGTAATTTTACTGTACATAACTGTTATATGTTGTTTGGTTTTGTCTGTTGACTGTACTCTACTGGTTGAGAAATACAATTATGACAGTTGTTTCAAAAACCTCTTGGAAATTCGCCAGATCAACAACGGAATTCGAACCCGCCTTTTACATATAGCCGAACTATGGGAATTAATTCGAGAGAACAATCCTGGTGTCTTTGCATACAACAAAAGAAGTTTGTTCTACCTTTGTCTCTCCCTTGCTTCGCCTAGGTGAATTCTAATCAAAACCCTCCCACCCTTTCTTATTTTCCATTTCCTTCGTACTTTGATTACATTTATTTAAACTCTGATTATCTCTACCCACTCTAAATTTAGTAATACGTAACTTTTAAGATTTGACCTAATTATCTATTTATTGAATTGTCTACATATACACACATATTACTAACTTTGTTATTCTTATCGCCACCTGCATAAACCTTATTATCAATATTTTGTTATCATTATAATCATCGTTATTACTGACGTTCAAATCATAAACGCCATTATTATTATTATTTGATCCACAAACTCACCGTCTTTGGTTAAATTTTTTCTTATATATAAATCTATGTAAATTAGAGTGAAGCCTGAAGAAGATCTAATTGAAAACAATAATACTGTTCGCTTATATGTCTTGTTCTAATATTATAAATGGGAATATTAAAAGATATCAACAATTGACTGTGGTTTAATTAGCAATTCATGTAGGCTTCCTGAAGACTGATGACTTGACGCATAAACACGATTAAATTTTAATGAACGAAATATTCACTTATTGAGGCATAAGAAAAATAAGACGTAAACAGCGATGGAAATTTTCTTTCCGACGATTCATTTTCATAAGCTGATGTAGAATAGTAATTATATTTAATAAAAAATTCATAAGACCAATTAGATCCTAGGAGTTGTGACTAATTGGCACTTAGAAAAGGGGGAACAAGTTGGAATGATGTAATAAGTGTAAGAAAATGACTAATCAATATAGTTGTCTGGAGTGGATAAGAACTAGTGGAAAGACGATAAAGTGTTTTTATAAAATTTGTATGAAAACGCAATGTTAATAATAAGTATAGAGTGATAATAAAATATGGATGATGAGAATAATAATAATACTCTGGCCACGGTAGGGCGAGGGAATGTATGTGGTGCTTTTGAATACAGAGGTCCTGTTTCAGATCGCGAATAGCCAATGATTCAGCTATGTACAGATGGCGTATTCGAAGTCCTTACATACAACATTGAGGGACTCTGCGTAGCACTGTGAAGCACTCATGCGGAGGTGTTTGATGTCCATATATGACAAGGTGTTCGATGATGGAGCTGCTACTATTCTTCTTTTCTCCCCTGGTTAACCAAGCTGGACAATGTTCCAGAATACGTGTGTGCACTTGGCACTGCGTACGGTCAATATACTTTGCTCCAAATGAGCAAGTAAACTGATAAATACACATTGAGGTAGCCAAAAGCGGTATCTTATCCTTAACATTAGACTGGATTAACTGTCTGCTGGAGAATGTGACACGTAAGGTCGTTGTTGGAAATGTCTTCTTCAGACATTTAGAAAGGCGGTTTCTAGGAATTTCTGCTTCGATATCAACTTTGAATTCCAGGTCCATGAAGACAGGTTTCTTAGGAACAGTTATGATTTTGTCTATGAGTCTTGGTGGATACCCATTCTATAGAAGGGTTTCACATAATGAATTTAACTCCTCCTCAATCGTGTCTTCCGAACAGATTTTTTGAATCCTTGAACATAATGTATATACTAGGATTTGCTTTCGGATCTGTGAGATGGAGCTCTGGAAGTTCATGAACTGTCCCGTCCAAGCTGGCTTGCGATTTACTGATCTTTGGAAGCGTGAAATTTCCTTGTACACTCATCGCTGTGTCGTTGAAATTAGATTACCTACGATATGTAGTTGGCTAGAAGCAGTAGGTAGGATACCATGAGCCTGGTTCCATAATTATTCAAACTTGTCAGCAAGGTACATCCTCAAACTAGGAACTTATAACGCCTCGGAGAACGGAGCATGTGTCACCTAGTGTTGTAGTCAGAGACGCGACATTTGAGCTATATGGAAGGCGACTGAGAGTAGATTTGTTTGGTCAATTGAAAATCTATATTACTTTGCTTATGTTCTACCAACTGTATGGTTGTCTTCATACTGCAGGAGGCTTTTAATTTCATGAATTTATTTTAATGACGCTGTATACCGACATGGACATTATTGCGCGAAACAGTTGGTGAACATGTCAAGCTCCTCTCTCTCTTCTCTCATCGGAATAGAATCTTTCTATTGTGGTGAGAGCTGTCTGCTAGCCAAAATTGGTAGACACCAATTTACGTCAATGTTTACTTCCCAAATCGGGGTCACGAGATAAAACAATAACAAAGCCTAACCTTGAGGAACTCAACAACCAATCACAGCAGACTTAACGTGTGCAAATACGATTCGCTGATATATGGTCTGACCTTCAAAGAAACGGCCACAAAGAGATGACAGAATCACCTTCAGCGAGAAAACAACCAATCAGAAGACGCTGTTTCTCTGCTAATAATAACGTATAATAATGTATATGAATATCTCTTGATTTTCTCAATAAACGATCTGTCGCCTGGCCCTTGTCTTCTGTCGTTACACAATCATAATCAAATACCCCAACTTCAATATTTACATATTTACTCTTGGGAAACCAATGAAAACTAAAGGTTATGAACAGGAAATTGTGCTCGAAACGCCATTCAGTTATTAATATTGTATCACTTTATTTTATATCAAATACATTTATCGAATATGAAATCCATGTAGCATTTGATTGCAAGACTAATGAGCTTTCAGGTGAATAAGCTAACATAAAGCAAGCAAATTAAATTTAAGTGACTCTCAAACCTCTAACCTACGCTTATCGACTCTGTGCAGTTATGAATGACAGTAATAGTTTCTCAGTGATGACATTACATGAGAACTGAACTGAAATTTATCAAATACCGACAAAGATTAATTTAGAACTTCCATTTATGTTGGTGTCCGGTTTTGTAATTATCTGGCTTAGAATAACAAATGAATCTTCACAGTTATGTCGACACTACTTATAATTGTGTCCTCAATGAAAGAGGCTGTATATATACTACTAACTGACTAATATGAGTAGTTGGATACTACTCAGATGAACCAATAGTGCTAGCTAGCCAGACTGAATTCACCTAAACTGTATCTTGTCTCAAAATATGGATAGGTTCAGTGCTACTTACAACTTTTAAGTAGTATAATAGGTATAAAACAAAAATGTGTTTCTACAGAATTTCAACTTACTCGTTGTTGAGTTTCTGTCATATTACTGATAACTTCAGATAAATTAGTGAGTAATTGGGTTACATCATTCAGTCGTGAGTCAACATCATTGAATCGTTGAAATTGATTGTCTATTTCTTTGAAACGTTTTTCTAACTCCATACCAATCCCCTTTATTAATGAAAATAATTAAAATAGAATAAGAGTATATTTCAAAACAATGCTTAAATTAGTAGGTGTGTCAGGTGAAAAATGTTATGAGTTAGAGTTACAATCACCGAAAATATATTTACTTTCGAAGGACTGGTATTCAGCGATTAGACTTGGAACCACTGAAATCCATTTAGCACTAGACAGTTGTGTCATTCTACATTGGGGCTTTTTAGTAGTGGGCACCTATGACTCGCAAAGAGATTTGTTGGGAGGGATTCAAAAAATGTTGAGTGTGATTACAGGCATTTGCCAAATACATTATTTGGCGATGGCGCTTCATATCGCGATTTGGAAGAAGTCAGAATTCTTGGGTTGCTGGATTCCATGTTAATGGCTTAAACTTCAAGAGACTCGCTTTGTAACTTCAACATCCTTAGTTTGAACGAAAAACAATGAAAACTTAGGAGTCGAACCGAACTAGATCCAAGGTAAATGTAAAGGTTGGAGTAGTTTTATTTTTGAACTAATAGCTGCAGCTTGTTCACTACAAAGAAGTCTAGAACACATTGCCTTTGGTAGATTTTGGTTTACTTTTTAGATGACTCTGAATGATGAGTCAGTTGAGATGCTGTGACAGGTGTTGACGAAGTGTTCAGTTATTGCCCTTCTAATTGAACCAGTGTCTCCTCTTTATAGCCATGCTGGGTAATGTTCTGCTAACAGGTTTTGATACGATTCAAATAGAACGACTTATATATACCCAGCTCTGCAGGATAAGATAACCCGATATATATCCATTCGAGTAGCCATATGCATAAGTTCATCATTCACATTGCTTGGAAGCAATGGGCGTCTAGACAGTATCATTCTTAGAGTTGCTTTAGGAAAAATCTTCTTTAAGGGAACTTCAGATTCTTCTCTTAATGTTGCTAAATCGCTCCTGTCGTTCAGATTCGAATATAATGTTTTATTTGTTACTAAAGTACATTCTTCTCTTTTTGGTTTTGGTTTCATGTTCTTCTCCACGATACATACCGCGTATTCATTTTGACTTAGGACATTTTTGAGATAAATAAGCTCCTCTTCTAAACAGTCACTGCTACAAATTCTTCTGATACGGCGGGCCAGGGAGATGTAATGTATTTTGTTTCCATATCTCCATATTTACTGACATCCGAATGTATCGATATCTGTTAGTCGCTACTAAAGACTTCATACCAAACTCAAGTCTGTGGGGAGATCAATTGTGTGTATTCACAGAATTCAGCTGATATAGTTGGAGGAGAAAAGTATTGAGAGCCTCGGTCTGGTTTGCCTAATAAACTATAATAACTAAGAACAAAACGAAAATTTTCTGCAGAGTAGTTTTGAGTCGAGTTACCGTGATTTCTAATAGACATCCAGTGGGAAAAGGAAAAGATATATATATATATATATATGTTGACTTAATCCATTTCTCAACAACACCAAGTTGTATTTTTTCGATGTTAAGCTGAACTACTGACTATTAGTAAGTAGTAAGAATTTCTTGGCATATTTTATTGTTGGCATTTTGCACTGATTGTTGAATTTCATCATAAATTATCTCATTGAGCATGTCTGCGGTTTTCATCCATATGAATCTTTCTTTGCCATTTCATTAAACGGATCTTCGTCAGTATTTCATTCGACCGCTAATTTATGTGACTATTGAGGGCCTAGGTATTCCATAGTATTCTTTGTGTTTCCTTTGTTCAATGTTTGCACAACTTTCCAGCCGAAAAAGTATCCGATTTTTTCCATTTGTACTAAAACAAAGAGATAATTCTGATTTCGCTTGAAATTTAGCTTATACTCATGAGCTGGAAGACACCCAAATGATATTTGATACTTTGACGTTGCAGTCGAGAACTATTTTGTCTGGGAGCAGTGTTCCCTCACAGCTCCCAGCATTCCACGAAGTTGGTGTGGACGGTAGTTTTGGGTATATTTAAGTCGCTTACGCTGTGTCGAGGATCTGAGCACTGCTGGATGATAAGGAATGTTGCAGATTTCCCTTCCGGCTATCAACAGATTAAACATGCAGTCCTCCAGCCCTGGAGAGGAGTAGTCACTAAATTTCGGCTTCGGGAATTGCTGATCTTGACTTACACACTCTTTGGTCAACTCTGTCTTTAACCAACAGTATAGTGTTTGAATGCATGCAACTCTAGAAAATTTTTTTTTTAAATGCCACAGCCTGAAGAATCTGTCCCTTGTTCTGCTCAGACACATGAAGCCAATATTTTAGGTACTTCAATGATAAAATCAACTTCCCAGACATAGACAGCTAGAAAGTGGCAACTGCCTACACAATTCCTTTAAAACACCAGTTCAGAATGATGGTCAGCATAATGTAGATTATTTTGGTTTCGCCTTCACATTAAGCCGTACAAATCAAAGTTCGGTAAACAACATACGGCTGTTTCTATCTATTCTAGCCAACTACTCATATTTTATGAGTAGTATGTTACAGACCCTTTCGATCTTCATTCAAGCAGTCGGTAATTTGGAAAGAGTGAGTTGAATCTCGACCTAAAACTTCGAATTTAGACTCTCATTTATCTGCATAACGAGGTATTCAACTTGATAGCGTCCAGAATGCAGCAGTTAACCTGTCAATACCCTCAGGATTCACATGTTTTGCACAAACAGTACCTTCTATTAATTTGTAAATTTTTCTTACCCTTGTGTTTGTTCAGTGCTGACGGATCTCATAGTAGTACAGAAGGGCATTCATTATTTGCCGATGAGTTTTTTGTTGACAGCAGTTTGTTGAAAAGTACGGTGTTGACATCCCTAATTTCTGGATTGTGGTGTTCTGTAGTGGAAATAAAACTACAGCTAACGTTTGTCATTCACCTATCTATGAAGTATCGTTTCAAATACAGGTGACAGCACGAATGAAGATGTCAAAACCAGAATCGGAAAGGTTAGACAGACCTTTAACACTGTAAAACATGTTTGGAAATTTTTCACAATCAGCATAAAAAACGAAATTCGGATCCTCAAAACTTATTTTTAGTTAGTCACTTCTTCAATGTGGGTCAGAAACATGCAATGTGCATCACGAAAAGCATTTCCAAAAGGCTACTACAGTCTTTTATCAGAAGCTGCCTTAGCTAGCTCCATACTGAAGATCAAATGACAAGAAAGAAACTCTGGAGATGAACTAATAAAGAACCTATTGCTCAACAAGTATGACGAAGAAAATGGTGATAGATTGGATACAAACTGAGGACACCGTCAAATGACATGGCGCTCCAGGTCACCGCTCAAGTTGAATCCGAATGGGAAACGGAGAGATGGGCATGGGGCCGAAGTTGACATAGAGGAGATCGTGCGAGGAGGATATGAGATACTATGAGAAGTCAAGGGGACTATAGAGGATAGGACAAAATGGAGACGTACTGATAAAGTCCTATTTTCCACTCAGAACTCAAGGGAACAATAATAATAGGATTGTTGAAAGCTACAAGATATTTTGAAAATACAGTATTTCTGTGGACAGAATAGAAGTTAACTGGTTTGTTTAGATTTACAGTTTTCCTTTGAAATCTTTCTGATTTGAATACTGAGATTTCATTCTTTGTTTATTTGATTTCTGTATCTGTCTCTCTCTAAGATACCAAACATTCTGAACTGTGTATAACTCCTTAGGTGAATAAAAGGGATGACAACATCTTCATTTTTGCAAAGTTATTCTTACCTCTGTAACACTGGACATTTCACTTTTTAAATCCATAACTGGTCCTTGACCAGGACCAACACCACCGCCACCACGAAATACTACAGCTCGTGACTCAGCTACACCTCGTTTCCCTGTAGCTTTTGTTGAAGGTTCTCTTAGGTAGTCCATCGCTTTCATATGCTCCCATTTGACCATTTCTCTTTCTTTTTTTATATCAGTAAAACGTACACCTTTTAAATGGGAATAAAAGTTAAAAAACAGTCAGTTAATATAAAAATCATAAGAGTGAACAATAGTGATTTCAATATCTTCTTCTTTAGCTTGCCTACAATTATAAATCTATCAATTTTTACAAACGATAGACACTCAAGGCAAATTAGAATTACATATCAGAAAGTTTGAATAAAGAAAGAACGAACGTATTTGAAGGATAATACGAGCTCATCTTATTTCGTGGATCCTATTCAACTGCTGCCCACATCCCGAATAAATCAATTATATGTTGCAAAATGATGTCTGAACATACTTTCTGCAATGGCTTCAAGCGTTATGGATAGAATGCGTAATCCTTAGAAACCAACTCTTGAAAATTAATCTGATGCTCACTGGTGACTTGCTACAGGACTGAGTTTCTTGGAGTTCTAGTGAGAAGTCGTGACAGGTGAGATCCACCAAGTCAAGTGTGAGGATGAATTTCCCTCCGATGACATCGGTTGATGGTCACGCTAAATGCACCATGAATTGGTAGAAGTTAGAATTCATAGAGTATTGAATGTGGTCCCAGTGGCTGAATGGTATACGTGCTTGTCATGTAACCGCAAGGTTTTGGGTTCGGACCTCAGTGGGTGTGTACAGCCGATGATTCCCATTCTAGGATGTGACTATTCTATTAGTGACTAGACATCGCGTAGAGTTCAGATTTCTCTTAGAAACAAAGATGAACTCGAAAGAAAATACAAGGTAGAACAACAGAGTTAATTTATACATATTATGGTTGACAGTCCCGAAGGGTTAGTAGTGGGGTGAATAGTGAAGTAAAAGAAACCAGTTTTTATCTGTCTAGCGTACTAAGGCAAAGAAATATCCATAAGAACGGGAAAAAGAATTAAAGGTTCATTGAAAAGAATATTTTCCGTCTCTAGACTCATCCCAATTTACAACACAGTATGTTCGTTAACCCAGTCAAAAGTAGATAAGTATCCTGTTCATGCCAACTCCATCTGCATTTACCAATTCACCTGCACTTGCGGCAGCAAGTACATAGGAAGGACTGAGAGGAGAGTGTCTACTAGATTCTCTGAGCATATCCCTAAAAGTCCCCGTTTGAGATGCAGGCAGTAAAGTGTTCCCAAGCACAATCGCCAGTTACCTATTTGACACGAAGCATAAAGTGAAAATTAGTCAGGCTTTCAAAATAATCAATAAACAAAGAAAACTACCGCTAGCAAAATACTTCGACCCATCCTATGCATACAGAAAGACAGTGTAACTAATCTCTCACTATTCTGGTAACCCTGATTGTTTTGTTTCTTGTGCTTTTGTCTCAATCTTGACTTTGATTTTCACTCAGTGAGTTGAACTCACTATTAGGCTTCAGAATCTACCAAATTATATTGTTTCTCCTATAATTCTACTTCAATGTCCACCCCCACCCTCCTTAATTCCGCACCATAATATGTGTAAATTAACTCTGTTTTTCTCTATTGTATTTCATCTCCAGTCAATCCTTATTTCCCAGCAAAATCCGAACTACAGCCCACCTGTCTAATCACCATATAAACCGTTACTCTTTTAACACTAAATAATTGTCTCCTTACATCATCCGAGAAATTATGTTCCTTATTCTTTCTATCTATAACACTTAAAGTCATTGTAAAAAGCATTTTCAGTTAGAAATCTTGCAACATATTATAATTGGTGTTGTTTAAGATGTATGCAGTTGAAGAGAATCCACGAAATAAGGCGAGCTCATATTTTCTTGTTTGCAAATATATATATTCGTTCTTTCTTTATCCAAACTAATTAAAAGAGAAGTGTCTGTTTGAAATATCAGAAAGTGTATTGTGGAACAAGTGCAGCGTAGAATAATGATATTCAGCTAATTTTTGCTATCACTTAGAATGTGTACGCTGTCAGTAAAAAAATAATATGTAATGAGATCAAATATTTCATATATTTGGTTCCCTTGGTGGATTTCAACAAAGAAAGAAAGATCATTATGGGTAAATTTTATTTTGATAGAGTCTCACAGTGTTATACAGTAATATTTACTGATGACGTTTCGAACACAATTTATTGCTCATAATCATATCAAGGTAATCACACGACTTCCTAAATTCATTTATATAGTTCCATTGTTTTTCACTTGATTTTCACTTGATTTGATTGGTAGTAGTATTTTCCATATTTCGGGTATGAGTGATGATTCATTCCTATTGCATGTGTTGGGTGTAGATTCGATGAACAAAGATTCAGCAATCAACCTCTCTCTCCACTTACCTAGATTACTTTTTAGAATTTTAACCCTCTCCCACTCTATTGTGTGGTTGTGTGTTAATGCATGCATTGCAATTGCTGAGCTTTTTTCTAAATTACTTATCTTCTCTGGGTCAACCATTCTTACCTTAGCTAAATTCTTATGTTCTGACAATCTGACTACCCTTGACCTACTAGTTTGACCTATGGAGTTGACCTCACAGTCATTGCAGGGTATTTTGTAAATTTACAAAATCAATGGAACCATATAAATGAATTAAGGAAGTCGTGTGATTACCTTGATATGATTATGAGCAATAAATTGTGCTCGAAACGTCATCAGTAAATATTACTGCATAACACTGTGAGACTCTATCAAAATAAAATTTACCGATAATGGAATTACACTCTACCACAGTGCCCAAGTTTTATTCTTATATCAAAGAAAGATCAGATTTGAGGTATAAAATGATTTCATCATTCTATTTCACAGGTTCCCCTCATCAGCTGCAAACTCCCGCAAATTGCATTGGTTACAAATAACGGCAATAAGATACTTCAATGCTTGAATGGTAGTGGAGAAAACATGGTAAAATCAACGCATCCAAAATACAAGCATTACAGTTTTTACCATTATTTTTTTTCCTTTAGTTCCTAGAGGAACAAAGGGCTTCAGCCAAGCGTCTCCATTGCATTCGATTCTCAGCCTAACATTTCACCTGGATGCACGTCTGCCCACATGCTTTCATCTCCTCTTCGTATGACTTCCTTCTCCATGTCACCTTCGCACTGACGACCAACTCGCTGCTTCCCATTCGGGTTCCACTCGAGCAGTGGCCTGCCCTGTGGTGTCACTTGATGGTTTGTTTTCTCAGAGTATGGTCAATCCACCTCCATTTCTTCCTACATATTTGTTGCACAATCGGTTCCTGCTGGGTTTTCTCGCTCACAGCGATCCCTGTTGCTGATCTTTTCTGGCCGGCCATCTGATCTTGAGTAGTGTTGAGCGAAGACAACTGTTAATGAAGGTCTGTAGTTTGTTCGAATTGCCCTTCGTGACAGGAAGGGATTACAATTTTTAGTCTAAATTACCATATCTGCCATTCAGACTCCAAAATTCACTGCTAAATGTCAGTGAATTGGACAGTTTATTCCTGAGAAAGACTTCTCAGAGCACACATACACTTTCAGAACTCATAACGAAGATGTTGACTTGTCGTAACGAGGCTTTAGTTTAAATTAATATCTCCTGCAACTAAACTGCTTAATTGAATCTCAAATAAAACAGACTAAGTAAACGATTAAAATATGCTTGAACGACTTTCTAAACTGTTAACAAACAATAAAAAAAGAGGTGCTGAACTTACAGAATGGATTATATTTAGTTGTCTCTGCATTTCTTAAACTTGCACATTGATTACCAATAGCTTTATAAGCTTCATAAAAATGCCATACAATAATTATAGGCGGTGCAAGTGGTGATCTGTGTACATAATCATTAATCATTTGATATCTTTGATAATTCCAATAGTATGTTGATGCACTTTCAATTTCTTCATACGTTTTACTAAACAAAATATGCGGAACAAAAGATAACCATTTTAAATCATACTACTTACAAATACATAGTAGTTAAAAAGCTAATGACAAAAAGATAGAGTGATTCTGAGTTAGTCGAACAAACAGTTGGATATGAAGACAAAGTGGAAGGTGATTATCCATGGGTATTTCAGAATATGCCTGTCAGTAGTGCTGATATCAAGCAGTGATGTGATGACCACAAGTCTCTATTAATAGTTAATTCTTATCTACTATTGCTGTTATTTCGTTAGGTTCCACGTGGAACAGAGGGCTTCAACAGAACATCACCATTTTTTCCTGTTCTCTTTAGTCCTCTTTAGAAAGTTCGATGATTTTCCATGGACAATGATACTTTCCTCATAAGATTCTTTATATCACTTTTAGATACACGCCCAATTCGTCAATTCCCATTTGGGTTATACTGGAATGATGGCCTGGCACATGGTGCTACTCAACGGTCGCTTCATCGTATGTCATATCCACCTCCATTTTCTTCTGCACATTTGATGAGCGAAAATATGAGGAGGCGTGGCACACAAGTGCCCAGGGTCTGTGGGAGAAGATGAAATAGAAGCAGATCCTTCAAATTGTCACCAAAAACAATATGAGGCTGTTATGCAGTGTGTACCGATCTCCTCCAGGACGATGACTCCTAATTCTTATAATGGTCATAAAATTTAGACTACGTATTAAGATAAGACAAGGGCAATCAGTAAACTGTTTGGCTAGTAACCTATTTGACAGAGCAATGAAGTAGGTGCTTAACACGTAACCTATCTCTTTCATAATCACCCGCCTGTAAATGCACTATATATGATGTTGAATGCTTTATTGGAGATGCCAGACAGTAGTTCAGCAAGCTATACATCATACTCCATATAAATCCGCATTCTGGCAACTCACTCAACAGTAAACCTTCATAACGTAGTCTGCGATTCCATCTAATAACCTAAAGGTCCTGTTTCAATCTCCCAGCGGGGTCATAGTTGAGTAATGCCGTAGTTCCAAACTAGAGTGAAACGGCTGTCCAATACTTCTTTGTTTTTCTCTGAGTCATTGGTCCAATACTAGAATGCTCGACAGCCACTAGGGAAGTTCTCCTTCAACTGTCAACTGATGCAGTGCTAAGCTGCCTATTTTACTACTCTGTAGAACCCCACGAAAAGATGGAAGATTGAGTGTGAGGATAGCTATCTCATTCTGTAAAAGCAATATTTCTACTCGAACTTGGAATGTTTGAAGTTATCTGTCCCACTCAAGGAAAAAAGCGATATGTGATAATGTCTTAATGTTGAATCTTTGGGTTTGATTTTAAAAATAAGCACGTATCACATTTGTGTCTATGTCAAAAGCACATCTTCTTTATTAGATGATGCCCTCTCCAAAAGCTGCATCACTTTATGAAGTGTATATATTGTAAATTATCCACGTTGACCATTGAGCAGCCTCATTTTTAGGTGTATGATTTAAAAATCTGCGCTACTTTTGAAATATATATAATTTACTAGGAAGGACTTACGAAAACATGGCAATAAGTAAGTTGAACATCAGTATATTTGTTAATAAAACATAGAATCCAAGCATAATTGGAACAAGCCAACGGGATGTTTTTGTAGGACACATATGATTCTGACATGTACGATCTATACAATAAAAAAGGATAAAATTCAACATGGAGTTCAAAGGGAATTAGTAAATAAACCATTTGCAGAAATTACCTAATTATTTTATTTTGTGGTAAGCATTGTAGCTATAGGCATTTAGTAGGAAGCTTTTTACCTACGTTTCACGTCCGATTGGAATTGTTAGGAAGGCGTATCTATAACCTTCAAGGATATTATGTCCCTTCAGGCATTCGCATTTGCATCACCCACTACTGCAGACAGAGATGTTGGGGAGTTTTGTGAACTGTCCTACTGTCTTGACAAACGTCAACAAGCATGAGATCTAAGTTCGAGACTCCGTACCAACTGCCCTCAACGGTATTATTTACAGAACAGACTCAACAGACTACACTGTAGGTTTTCATGGATCTCATAGGCTTAGGTTTTCGACAAAGTAACAAACATCAGTTCCCCTCTAATCGGTATCGTTCTTATCACACCTTTCAGTCTGTTTTGTGAGTGTTGTTCAAAACTATTTTTTTAAAGGATTTTCTAGAAACAGAAATTATCCACTTTCTGGCCTAACTATGTATTGGAGCCTTTATTCTGCTCATGATTGTAGACATAGGTGGAGGCTATATTTTCAAATAAATAGAAGCAGCGTTGAAACAGATGATTCTAACATTTTCACTCGGCGCTTACAGCATATGGAACTATTCAATTAAATCTTGATTAGAATTAACTTATACTACTTATGAGTAGCTTATAGTGTATTTGTAATTAATAGTCGCAATGAGATATACATTTATGCTTTTATTCCCATTATTATTATTATTGTTTTCCTTGATATGAGATGAGATGAGACAATCTCAAGTCGAAATAAATGCAGAAAGGCATAAATAATTCATAAGATAAACAGTCATTATCATTATTATTGTTATACTTACCTTCTCCTTGTAATGCATCTAAACTGAAATCACCAAACATTTGAAAATACGCGGTTGTATACATTGAAAAGATGATATCTGCAAATGTCATATGCTTAATCTCAGAGTCTATGTGCCAGTAGTGTAGTGTGGCGTGTATATTTCGCATTGGAGATGAATGAAGCGTAGTGAGAATCAAAATAGAATAGAAATCAAAAAGTAAACATTGATGACAACTCAATTGAAGGTAGCATTTCTTAGTAATATTAATACAAAAATATATTCATGAACATGTCACAATGATTACATGAAAATACTGAATAAATAATAATAACAGGGTGAGTAGTCCTCACTTATGTCTCAACCGTATATCATATTAATTATTTACAAAAACGTTATCCTTGTCAGTTGAAATAGTAAATGTTATTTGACGATGAATTGTCAAAACTATTTTTTTCTTTGAAACAAGTTCCTAGAAAGGTAGACCATAACTCGAATGTCAATCCTCTGCTTGATACAATTAGTATCAGTCTAGATAGCAGCAAAAATAACGTGAAAGCTGGGAAAGCGTTATCGACTACAAAGAATTTCTCCAGAAGTACCGAAAAGGGACTTAGAGATGTCAGTGGATATACTCGGACAAATGTTACACAGGGTTTGGAAGAGAGGAAGGATAATTACTGATTGGAAGATTAGGCTACCTTGTAAGACTCCCACAGAAGGTGGGGACTTAAATCTTTTCAAGAACTGGTGTAGAATCATGCTCCTATGCATGAAAAGAATTTCATTAATAACCGATTTCGCTACATAGTGAAGATCAGATATCCAGAGGGGATAGGCGGCGGGTAACAGTGTCAGTCAGTGAACCAACTAAGAAGCCATAGTCTAAAAAATACACAAAAAGAAATATAAGTGGATTGGACATATGCCGAGGAGACCGCTGAATGACACCAATCATTAGCAGGTAGAATGGAACTCGAAGAAGCGACAACGAGTTAGACATCCAATGGTGACATGAGAGACTTTATGTGAGGGAGAAGCAAATGCTTACAGGCAATCTTGTAACCAGAGAAAAGCGACTGAGGAAAAGAAATTAAAATAACTTTAAGTTACTGAAATACTGCGTTTAAATCGGAACCAGAAAGAAGAAGAATTACGATGTGTTACCAAGCTGTATCAGTAATAAATATCATCACGCTAATTTTTTTTTCAAATCAAATCAAGAGTTTCTGATTTTAAAATTACTTCCATCTCATGGCCTGAGTATGAGCGAAAAATTAATAAAAACACTAGAGGAAATCAGTGTTTAGTACGTAATTTAATGGACGGAGGTCGGTAGTTAAGTAACAAGGAGTATTTGCAAATTTGAGGGGTAGAATTCCGCAACCTACAGGTTAAAATTCATGACAGTGACTGATCATCTAACAATTCGGAGCAGAACCAATTGATGACAGTGATTTGTGTCAAAGTTTCTGATTACTAAGTGTATCTGATTTAGTTCAGTAAGTGGTCGCTCGTTGTCTAAATACCTGTTGAAGTATTTGCACCTTAAAGGTACATATAAGGCGAAGAAACAACAGCCGCCAACCACGTGAACTCATTTACATGTTACTGAAGTAAGAGAATCAAGGTTTAAAAGAAAACAAAAGACGTCGACAACTGACTGTGTTCGTAATTAATACACAGTGTGAAGTGTTCATCTTCTACTTTTTATGATCTAAGCAGACACCATCAAATCATTACTTCAGTTTATTTTTTAAGTTTATGATATCGTTGATGGGAGTTGATTAGTGGTCAAACAATAAACACATTCTAGGTTTTGACTAGTTGCCAGAATGTTTCCACAAAGGCGGTACACTTTGTACGGCTGAGGCTCTAGCTATTCAAATAGAGAAACAGGAGGTACGCATACAGAAGAAAAATGTATCCAACCACCTCTACTACCGTGATAGCAGTCTTGCTGATTCCTACTCACTTGGTTTTGGTTTGCTTGTCTTCCTAACTCCTTGCGTAATTCCATATTTTCCTTCGTCTCTGTGTGCATCCTGATTACAACTCATTCATTTAATTGTCCATCTTATTACATAACAGCTGTTGAATAAGGTTGATGAATATTGCATACCCCAAATATTCATCAACCTTATTCAACAGCTGTACGACAACGGCACATGTCAAGTCATCCGCAACGGAAAACTCAGCGAGGCGTTTAGAGTAAACACAGGAGTCAGACAAGGGTGCTTATTATCACCAATGATATTCCTAATTGTGGTGGACTGGATTATGCATCAGACAGTAGGAAACGAGAAGACAGGGATATCCTGAACCGACGTGAAGAACCTAGAAGACCTGGATTTCGCGCGTGGATGATTTATGTTTGATTGCACACAAAATCGAAGACTTACAAGTGAAAACCGACAAACTGGTCGAAGAAGCAGCCGGCGAAGACAGGACTCCAGGTGAACATAGACAAGACGGAGGTTATGAAAATAACCAGCCAACCAACAACAACATAATAGCAACATCCAGCGACAATCACCATCAACGGGAGGGATTTGAAAGAGGTTACTTCATTCAGTTATCTAAGGAGCATTGTCTCAACTACAGGAGGAACGGACGAGGATGTCAAATCGAGAATCGAGAAGGCGAGAAACGCATTCATCAACCTGAAACCAATCTGGAAATCTTCGTCACTCAGCCTGCTTCAACAACAAAATTCGGATTTTCAATACAAATGTCAAGTCAGTCACTTCTTCTATACGGATCAGAAACTTGGCGGCGGGTCACAAAGAATATTTCCAACAGCCTATTGCAGACCTTTATCAACAACTGTCTTCGTTCTATACTCAAGATCAGATGGCCGGATAGAATCACCAACAAGAAACTATGGGAACAAACAAAACAAGAACCAATCTCTCAACAAACATGCAGGAGAAAGTGGAGATGGATTGGACACTGTCTGAGGAGGCCGTTAGGTGACATCACGCGTCAGGCCATAGCTCGAGTGGAACCCGAAAGGGAAGCGGTGAGTTGGTCGTCAATGCAAGGGTGACTTGGAGGAGATGAAAACGTGTGGACAGACATGGAGCCAGGTGAAGACTCTAGCAGGGAACTGAACGCAATGGAGACGCACGGCTGAAGCCCTATGTTCCTCTAGGAGTTAAAGGAAACAGTAATAATAATAATTCGCTGGTTAATTCTCTGCTGTGCATGGGTGGGTCAGCGGTAGAACTCTCACCAACCACGCCTCAAGTGGTCCGGGCTTCGAGTCCCAGTATATGTACTCCCTTATCTTGCCAAGTGGGTAGGAAACCTAGTAAAGAGGAAGGTTGGATGTGAAGCTAGTAGCACCGTCCCGTAAAGATAGAACCAGTGCTTCTGAAACTTCAAAGCTCTAGCTTTGAGCCCTATGTTTGATTTGGAATTCAAAGAGATAAAACAAATAATTATAATAGTTTTTAATTGGTGGATGGTGACTAGCAGTGGAATCCAGGATAACGCGCATTTCGTCCTATTTGGGACTCGTCATCTGGATGTACCTGCATTTCTCAGTGAGTGATGATGTTCCCACCGAGGCTCGAACCCAGTGCCCATAGTTCCCAACGCCAAAGTGTTATCCACCAGACCACTTGGGCCATGAGAGCCAGCTCTTGTGCAACGGGTCATATTGATTTAATTGAATTGAGCATCATCACTCACTGAGAAATGCAGGTACATCCAGTTGATGATGAGTCCCAAGTAGGACGAAATGCGCATCCTGGATTCCACTGCTAGTCACCATCCACCAATTAAATACTAATTAAATGCCCAGACATCGTCGAAGCATCTGCTCAAGAAGCCGACATGTCAACCTGAGACCGAGCACTTCGGTCCAATCAATCGACGGGAAAAATTTAAAATTCAATTAAATTATAATAGTTCTCTGCCTGAATTTCTGTTGCTGTAACATAGTACAGCGCGTTTAGACCTGAGTTATGTTTACTTAATAATTATAAATGCAAAAATTAATTCATTAAAAATGTTCATTAAAATTTTTAACTGCGCTTCTGGAGCAAGTTATACTGGCCGTTGCTCTAGGAACTTAATCCCTCGTACTCGCTCTGGAATATCTACCAGTTTGGCTAAGTAAAGGTGCAGCAATAACCATCAACAGTTCGATATCGGACCAGCTGGTCAAAACCGGCCACAAAACCAGCCAGCATTGAAGAATCCTTATTGTCATCTATCGGGTATCAAAACATTTGCTAAAAACATTCAGGTGCCACATACTCCAAACGGCAGAGGCTATTGAGATTCGTGTGAAACAACTAGTGCTTTGTTTTCAAAAGAACCAAGTCCAGCCCTTACTACTACCCTGACCTTCAGTAGAGACTATAAATTCATGAATTTGTATTATTTTCTTTCCCAATTTCTTTGATAATCAGTGTGTATTGTTATGTTGATGCTATCGAACTGTAATCCGTTGATATTATTATTATTGATTCTATGTTATTCATATAACATTAATGATGTTAATAACACTAATTCATTCATTCGCTATTATGTATATATAACTGTAGAAACTGATAAAGAAGGCTTTACCGAGAAGAATATTCTTTGTTCAGTAACCATGCTTTTGCAAAAATAAATACCGAAACGGCTTTCAGAACTTTTTATAAAAAAAAGGATTAATTAGAGTGGTTTGCTGAACTCGTAATCATTATGGATCCACGCTAGAGGATATACGAAAAAAAGAAGAACTTCCCGCTTCGCATTTAATCTATCTTTGTATTCCTTGTCTGATCATTCTTTTTCCTCGTGCCTGCCTATTTATTCTCCTCTTATCTCTCATTATTCTATTTACTCTCCGATATTTGTTTGACAACGGCTAATAGGAGAATCTTTTAACTTCTCTTCGGTCTTTTGTATCAGCGGATTTGATAAGTCAATATGTGAGCAAACTGCTCAAATTGTATTGCAGAAGTAAATCTGATTAACTTCAACCTCAGAGTAGGCGTATTTCTTTAATCTTACCGGAGAAATTAACTAATAAAGGACTGAATATCTTTAAGTCTACGATATTAATTCGATACTCACATATTTCTCTATCTGAACACTTATGAACCAAGACATTTTTCTTTTCAGTAAAGCCTCTTTAGGTTCTTACTATAATAAAATGATAATATTTGTTATCGTTACAATAATGGCCAATTATTCAGTGAATACATTTCTACGTAGAATAAGAATAGATTAATTGAATTTAAGATATTCCCATCAAGCCTCGCTGAGAACATCATCACTCACTGAGAAATGCAGGTACATCCAGATGATGAGTCCCAAATAGGACGAAATGTGCGTTGTCCTGGATTCCACTGCTAGTCACCAACCACTAATTAAGAATAGATTAGTTCTCATAGTGTAACAAAACAGATAGTAGTATTTGTGTGACAACTGACCTAGGACAAATCCAACTACAGAGTATTGTGTAATGCGAAACAACAATGATGGTGATTAGTCACAATAGAGTGCACCTGGATGCCTGAGACACCGTTGCATATAACTGAAGCTGTGGCAATTAGGGCGACTAAACCGCATCTGTGTATTAAAAAAGAACACGTCCAGACGCTGTTCCTATCGTGGCCCTACATGGATCAATGATTCTTCTTCTCACCAAGAGTGACTCTTCCCCTTGTGGTGAGAGCTGTCTACTAGCCAAATTGGTAGACAGTAATTTACGTCAATATTTACGTTCCCAAGATTTGTCGTGAGAAAATGTGAACAAAGATTGATTCAAAACCGACCACAGCAGACTTTGCGTAGGCGGATGCAGTTAACATATAGATGATTTGACATTCAAGAAACAGTCACAAAGAGATGAAAGATTAATTTTAAGTGAGAAACAACCAATCGGAAGACTGTCTTTGTTTACTTAAATATCCATAGTAATGTACATGAATATATATATATATATATATATATATATATATATATATGCGTTGATTTCCTTAATAAATGATCTGTTGCCTGACTCTTGCCTTCTGTCATTACACGCTTAACCCGCTTGGCTTTCTTTTCTTTTAATTCGGATAGCGTTATTAGAAGACGGAGATTATTTGAAAAATGTGATGTGATGTATTTCAGCAATACATTTCGAACAATCTGATCACATATTTACTTGTCCAGTCGATATATATGAAAAAATTAAGGGTAATTAAATTAAACAAAGTGACAAAAAAAAGATTTAAGAATGATTAACACAACGCTTGGTAATCCAATCAAAATAAGGATTACCAAGGTAGGTTAAGAGTAATAACAAACTGTTTTTGAATACACAAGGGGGGGTTAAGTTTATGAATGGCTATAGCCTCAGCGTATTTCAGTAAACGTGCTTGACCGTTTTTATAGATGACCATAAAGGCTGAGTTAACATCAACCTTATGGTTCATCTCGATTAGACGTTTGGCTATAAACGAAGTTGGTAGTCTGCCATCTTCATCTATTGGTTTTCCAGAATTCATTTGTTTTTCTAACCATTTCGGGGTATGCTATCCCACCGTCATATGCAAAGTACGATTACTCCTCCCTGTGTATGTGTGCCCACACACACACTAAAAATTATTATTCGTCATAATTTTTACCCTTCATGCAAACATTCTCTGAATACCATCGAATTTCCCATTTATGCTATTAGTAATATTATCTCCTTTCTCAATATATGCCTCCACCTGCCTTCATTTCACACATTGGTTATTCAAGATGAACTTTTCATTGCAGTCTTACTATCTCATCTTTAATACATACTAATTTGTACTAGCCACTCACTTGACACCTTTTATAACCTTGAACTGAAATGTCAATTTTCCTTCCCCCTTTGTCTCCCATTTCACAATATTTTGTAACCGAATTCAGCCCAGATCACGTTTGTCACACTCAAATATTATTTATTCTGTCGCCCCATAACTAATCTGTTATTCTGCGTAAAAATATATCCGGCACATAACTGGCTGTTATTGTAACGATAACAAATATTATCAATGTAAGTGTAGAACTTGGGCACTGTGGTAGAGTGAAATTCCATATTAGATATGTTAATTCCATATTAGTTTGTTTATTAGATATATCACACAGTGAAACAGTTAACTTTGAATATCGCACAGCGATCCAGTATTAACAACTGGATGGCAAGGTTTCGAGCATAAATTACTGCTCATAATCACATCACTATATTTTGTCGGGGCAGGCTGTAAGTAATAAAAAGCAATACAGTCAGATGGAAAGAGACAGGGGGTTAATTACTGAAGCTTGGGCTAAATCCATTTTATCTAACTCACACCACCCTCTTCACTCACAACTCTCCCTTTGCATCTCATCAGGTAAAACCAGAAGCCTATATAGAAAACTATATGCTCGTACCAGCAACTACGAAAACTCAACCATACCCTACTTAGCTCGTGTTCTGTGCGATAAAGAAAGTACTAGGCGTGACACCTATAATTCATTAAATAGTCAGTAGAACAACTGGATCTCGTCTTTCCAACTCATATAATTTATAGGTACAACATTTTCTTTCTTTCTCTTCCTTTTCTCGCTCTCTCCTTTTCCGTTACGTGCTGCTTTGTTTCTTTCTCTCGCTTACGCCAGTTAATAAGACAGCTCCCACTTTTCTAACACCTTCAAACACTGTTTCAGCTTTACCTTTGCTACTGACATGCCAATGTATTGTTGTAATAATGAACTGTGGTTTCCTCAATCTATGTAGAATTCTATTTATTGATAATGTACTAAGTGGATGCAATACTGTAGTAAAAATGCTGAGAATTCCATTCTGTATCACAAGTACTGTTTTAGAATAAAGCAAATTATTATTATCGGTTCGACACCGCATACGTGCAATCACAATGACGCAACGCCGCCTATGCCGGAGATATGGAAAGTGGCAACAAAGGGAACTTGGAGAAACAGAATAGAGAATATATATATACTTTGATTGGACACTAGTACTTTCTTCGGTACAGACTGGATTCTATCAGTCAGGTTTGCAATGTGGCCACCACTCTAGGTAGCTCGCCGTCACGGTGCACATTGATTTGATGATATTAGATGGTTAGAGGCAATCGGCCACAGGAACCCTTGTACCTAGGTTTCGTGCTAGCTGGCACTCATCAGTCAGCAAGACGCATCTGCAACCTTGAAGGAACTCATGTCCCTTCTGAGATTCGAACCCGCGTCATCCACTGCTGCAGTTAGTGCCACATTGCAAACATAACTGATAGAATTCAGTCTGCACCAAAGAAAGGACTAGACACGTCACACTAGTTACTAGTGTCCAATGAAAATACCCACTACAGTCCTACAGGAGGTCAGTCGCTAGACCGAATGGCTGAGTAGTAATGTCTCTGACTGCAGCAATCGGTGACGTGGGTTCGCATCTCAGAAGGGACATGAGTTCCTTCAAAGTTACAGATACGCCTTTCTGACGAGTGCCAGATAGCACGAAACCCAGGTCCAAGGCTTCCTGTCGATTGCCTCCACGAATTGTCAGAAGTTGGAATTCGTGGGTTAGCCACTGGATTGGTTTCTAGTGGTTGAGTAGTCTATGAATCCGCCTTATAACTCGAAGTTCCTGGATTCGACCCCAGTGGATGAATAACACCGATGAGTCTCAAACTAGAATGAAACAGCTGTCCAGTACTCCAAGGTTGTCCAGTGGACGAAATGCGCATCTTGGATCCTACCGATAGTCACCATCCACCAATTAACTTCTTAGTTTAACATGGATTCCCTATTTTTAACTTTGATAAAACAAGAAAGGCTAAATTTTCAGTATAAACTGACATAATCATATTCCACAGATTCTCATCAGTCACAACTTGCCGAAATAGTCATAATGGGACACCTTCAACCGAACCTCTAAATGAAGAAAACAGAATGTTATAATTCTCTCAGTTTTTGTTGACTGCAATTCGATTTCGATTACATTGATCGAATAATCATTTATATTAGTGATTGTTGCCTGCTGAGCTAGTTTTAATCTTGTGGACTAAAACACAATATTCTCATTAGCTGGTAATGTTCATAATTTTTTCCATTTTTCTATCTACTCTCAATTCCCTCATTTTCTATTTTCGCATATACATGAATGTTAGATAACTTCGCGTCGGTAGAACAGCGGTAGAATGCTCGCCAACCAGGCAGATTCGAATCCCGGAGGACGCACTCCTTTACCTCGCTAAGCCAGTAATAAGACTGGTAAAGAGGGAATGTTGGGCATGAGGCTAGCAACCCAATCCGCAAAAGTAGAAACACCACTGCTACCGAAACTTCAAACCTCTAGCTTGAAGCCCTATGTTCCACTGGGAACGTAAAGGAATAACAAAAAATAATGACTTCATTTGAAAAAGACTTTGATGATTACATTCTGAATGTCCTAATTTACGTAACATTTCCTTGACTGTCACATTCCAACAATGAAGTAATCATTGTCACTCAAGTTAACCTACAGGTGAATATAACCTGTGAAATAAAATGGCGTAATTTTATATTGTAAATCTGGCCTTTCTTGATCTACCGAAATTTATAAAAGGAACGTCTTTGCTGAACTCTAGCATATTCTTGTGACTTTTTTTATACGCATCATCCAGCTTAATAACGCTTTTTATCCTTTCTATTCTTGTATATAGTCATATTACACCAGCAGTCTCCTGCTTCATACACAGTACCTAAATACTATGAATATTTTGGATACTCATTCATACAGAAAAAAATCAATAAAATGTATTATTATTATCGTCATCATCATCACCACAAGAAACTTACTCAGCGTCATGTTCTCCTTAGTGAATAAACCATTAGGATAGGCGATCGATTGAGCAGCTACCGCATAACCAACCATAATCACAGTTAAAATAATCATGAATGGAATCAAATCATTCGTCACCTTTTTATTTTTGAAATTTGAAAGAATTTTAAGGAATGAAGAGGTGAATGCATGAAAATAAAATTAAACTTCACTAATTACATAATGAAAATATTAGTGAAATTAGAAACAATATTAAATTTTCTGAATAAGGCATTATTTTAGTCTGTACTGTCTGTTGCTTATTAGTTTCTTCTTAGATTTATGACTATCCTCTTAGAGTACTATGCCATCAATTGCTATAAATGAGCATTAGTCAAAACTCTGTGTTATTATTATTATTGTTTCCTTTAATTCCTAGAGGAACATAGGGCTTCAGCCGTGCGTCTCCATTGCGTTCGGTTCTCTGCTAGAGTCTTCACCTGGCTCCAAGTCTGCCCACACGCTCTCATCTCCCCCTCACATGACCTCCTCCAAGTCACCCTTGCAATGACGACCAACTCGCCGCTTCCCATTCGGGTTCCACTCGAGCAATGGCTTGTCTAGTGTTGTCACATGATGCATTGTTTCCTCAGAGTATGGCCAATCCATCTCCATTTATTCCTGCCTATTTGTTTCACAATCGGTTCCTGCTGAGTTAGTTCGCTCCCAAAGATCCCCGTTGCTGATCTTTTCTGGCCAGGCCATCTGATCTTGAGTATTGAGCGAAGACAACTGTTAATGGAGGTCTGTAGTTTGTTTGAGATGCTCTTTATGACGCGCAGTGCAAGTCTCTGATCCGTATAGAGTAGCACTGACTGACTTCACATTGGAGTTGAAAATCCATATCTTATTTTTGATGCTGAGTGCTGTTGACCTCCACACAGGCTTGAGAGTAATGTAGGCTTGTCTTGCTTTTCCGATTCTTGCTTTGATATCCTCGTGAGTTCCGTCAGCCTGTAGTTGAAGCGATGCTTCCCAGGTAGGTAGGTGGGTTAAGGAGGTTGTTTCTTTCAGGTTCCTCCCATTTATGTTGATCGTTGTCTGTTGTTTTTCTTGTCCAGGAATCTTCACTACCTCTGTTTTCTCTACGTTCATTGAATTCCTATCCTTGATGCTTCTTCTGACAACTTGTTGCTTTTCATTTGCATATCTTCCAGTTTGTGGGAGACAAGACATATATCATTGGTGAAGTGCCGATCCTCCAGGTTTTTTGTGTGAGTCCATTTTATGCCTGCTTCCTCATTCCCCGCTGTTTGTCACATTATCCAATCTACTGCAATCAGGAAAATCATTGGCGATAGTAGGCAGCCAGCTTGTCTTACTCCTGTCCTCACTTCGAAGGATTCCGTAAGTTTCCCATTGTGGATTACTTGGCATGCAGCATTGTAGTACAGCTGGATGAGATGCATAATTGTTGGCGGCACCCCATAGTAGCGAAGCAGCTGCCAAATCACCTATCGATCGGCGCTGTCAAAGGCCTTTTAAAAGTCGATGAAGTTGAGAGCCGGGATAATATGCTCTACAGAGGGGTTGAAAAAAATGGTTACGCTTGGAGATTCATAAACAAGTACGGAAGATATGAAGGCTCAAGTGTCAAACAAATCACAGTTGAGAAAAAAGCCTGTCTTCATTCAACTCGATTTTGAAGGTGATAGATAATATTGCAGGGATAGTCAACATTAAAACTGAATCCGTTACTGACGACAGCCTGTCCTGTAGCTAAGTTGGTTCCCGTTTATCGGACAACATGTTCTTTGTTGCAATCAAAAGTCGACAGATATCCTTCTCAAGTTAAGTTTAATTGTGTATACAAATCTACATGTATCTTTCATAGCAATTACATTGGTAGAACAGAAAGATGATATTTCAGATTCTCTGAACATGTAACAAAACGTTTACGTCTCAAGGAAACAACTGCTTTGAACAGTGCTTTTGCTAAACATCTTGTTGATACGAGTCATGAGGTGGACACCTTGAAATCTTTCAAGATTGTTAACAGAAAATATAACTCAACCCTACTCAAGTTTGCTGAAGTAATCTCTATCAAACACCTTAAACCCAATTTATGTGTTCAGAAAGAAGCAGTTATCAGTCATTCCTTGCCCTGGTAACTGGATGTCTTTATTCTCTCTCTTTCATTTGATTATGCAATCTTTGGCTTTAACCTCTTATCCTTATTGTGCAACTCCTTTACCATTGTATGAATACGGGGATTTTAAAAAGTTTAAACTTGAACTCTCTGTCAACTGACATCATGTGAAAACTGCAAGAATGTTAAAATTGTTTCTGTAAATACACTTGGTAATATCTTTGGGCTGTAAGCAGATGACGAGAAGCCAACAAAATAAATGACTGTACCATCTTATTTGGCACAAGCTGTTGTTCTTGCTTTATTCAAAAATATCAAGTGTTATTTTGCAACGCTTCGATCATTTTCTAGCAAGATCATAAAGTGAGTTCAATTAAAGAACCATTGAGAACTAGGGAGCACTAGACAACTGTTTTGTCGTAATCTTGAACTCTCCTACAGTACACACCTTTAACTGTCCTCATCATGGACCGCGGACCATTCAGTTACCGGGACAACATTCATTGGCGCATGGATTCTAACTTCTGTTAACTTGTGATATGTAGCGCCAATTCTAGCCGATATCGCGTATCTTTCCTCATGCCTGACTTAGTGGACCTCAGTTATCATCCCATAATTCTGAGCTATTTCACTGACTGTCACCATTTATTCGATCTATAGACTTTAGTATGATACTTTGCATTATTTCCAAACATTACTTGTGATATACAGTGTGGAATTCTCAGTGAGAAGTCATGACCAGTGAGGTCCACTCAGATGTCACGTGTGAGGATGGATTTCCCACCAACGACAATAGTTGGGGTCGCGCTAAATCACGAATCGGCAGAAGTTAGAATTCAAGGACCATTGGAACGGGTCCCAGTGGTTCAATGGTCTACGAGCTCGCCTTGTAACCAGAAGGTCCTAGGTTTGAATCCTGGTGGGTGCGTACTGATGAAGAGTCCCAAACTAGGACAAAACAGCTGTCCAGTACTCCCAGGTTTTCCAGCGTTTCCCTAACTGATGTCAGCTCATGATGAAATCCTCCATGTAATTCTTCCTGATCGTCTTAACTTTCAAATATAGTAGGTCAGACGAAAGATTTTCTTAGAAATTGAAAAGATTAGAGAATAGTACTATTCCAAGGTATTTTATCCTTGGCATAGTTTCTATTTCAGTTTAACATTTAAGACAAGTGATCAAAAGCACTTTCAACTTTCTTCATTTTTTTCTTGGTCAACCGGAAGAAGAAGAAAATGTCTTCTGACAATTTCAGTTGATACTGATAAAACAAATTTTAATGAGAAGCCTCCTGCCAATAGTCATTTTTAGTGGTGAATGTCAAATTTGCTTAGAAAACTGAAAATGACAAAAAACTGAATTTGAAGGAATTTTGGTTAAATCAAACATTCTATACTACTTGTCAACAATGAAAAGCTCTTTTGATCAGTAATATTTGTTACAATCTTTAATTTTCTAAGAGATGACATTGAATGGTTGGTATTTGAATCTTTTTAAGCGTAGAAGATTTATACCGCCAATGTACAATAATCTTTCAGAGTGCATAAACTACTGACAACGTGTTAAAAGTACTATAATGTAGATAAGACTTACTAAATGTGTAATAAAACTTTTAGATTTTATCGAGCAGTAATATATCCTCTGGCATATTTAATTAATTATCTTTAGGTGGTTTGTAAGGGTTAGTTATGTTTCTACGAGTTGATCACGGATTGCATCAGTTAGAGAACCATTGAAAACCGGCAGGGAGTACTGGACAGCTGTTTGATCTTTGTTTGGGAGTTATCGGCAGTACGCATTCACAATGCGGGGTTCGAACCCAGGTCCTTCCGGTTACAATGCAAGCTCGTTGACGACCATTTAGCCGCTGGGACCTGATTCCTCAATGGCTAGCCCATGAATTCTAACTCCTACCAATTCGTGACTTAGCGCGACCACCAACCAATGTCGTTGGTGGGACACTCATCCTCACACTTGACTGGATGAACCTCACTAGTCATGACTTCTCATTAGAAGTGCAGGAAACTCCGTCCTGTAGCAAGTCACTAGTGGGCATCAGATTAATTTCCAAGAGTTGGTATGTAGGGATTAGTTTTGTTTTTACTAGTTGATCACGGATTGATGTCAGTTAGAGAGCCATTGAAAACCAGTGCTGGAGTACTGGACAGCTGTTTCAGCCTAGTTTGGGGATCATCAGTAGTGCGCACTCACTGGGGTTCGAATTGGTAGAAGTTAGAATTCATGAGCCACTGAGAAGTTGGGTCCTAGTGGCTGAATGGTATACGAGCTTGCCTTGTGACTGGAAGGTCCTGGGTTCGAACCCTGAAGGTGGATGCCTACTGCCGATGATTCCTAAACTAGGATGAAACAGCTGTCCAGTACTCCAGCACTGGTTTTCAATGGTTTTCTAACTGATATGTAATTAAATTAAACAAATTATTGTACCTGTAGCAAAACCATAGAACTGAATATATGCACCTATGCAGAATTAATGCAAATAATTCTTTAAATCCCATTGGCTACCTTAGAAGCTGATTAGAATCCTCTTCTTCAAGAACATTGATCTTTCAGTGTTAATTTCACCATAGATCGACATCAACTAGCGGATGATGGACAGCCAAGAGGCACAAGATAATTATTTCATCTTACTTCAACAGTAAGCCCCCACAACCCTACCATGGGTCGAACACAAGGTCTTTAGATAGATAGTTAGATGAGCCTGCTGATCACTTATTCAAAACAATTAGCCCCTTTTATAAATTTGGATAGTGTTATTAGAAGACGGAGATTATCTGAAAAATGTGATGTGATATATTTGCGCAATATACATTTCGAACAATCTGATCACACACACACATTGATATATGCGGAAAAAATTAAGGGCAATTAAATATTATAATTTTACAAGGATAACACGTAATTAAAGATGAAGTAGTCAGAAAAAATAATAAAATAATTTGGACAATTATAATTTTTATAGGTTTACGGGGGAGAGGGTGAAGTAGTCCGGTTTCTACATTCGTGTAACGATGGTCAAGGTAAGGAAAGTGGCTGTACAAATAGGAATCCACCTGAAGAAGCCAAACGTGTGTCTAGAAGAAATGTGTACAGCCACTTTCCTTACCTTGGCCATCGTTACATGAATGTATAAACCGGACTACTTCACCGCCCTCCCTCTAAACCTTTAAAAATTATAATTGTCCAAATTATTTTATTATTTTTTCTGACTACTTCATCTTTAATTACGTGTTATCCTTGTAAAATTATAATATTTAATTGCCCTTAATTTTTTCCGCATATATCAATGTGTTGTGTGATCAGATTGTTTGAAATGTATATTGCTCACATATATCACATCACAGTTTCAAGATAATCTCCGTCTTCTAATAACACTATCTAAATTAATTAAAGGGGCTGTTGTTGTAAACTATCCAGATCACCTGATCACTAAGTGGGAAATTGTGAACTCCATATACAGCATTGAAGAGTTTCAAAATAGCACGAAACAACTGTGCAGTGTTTCTCGCCCTCTAGTTATCCCTCGGACTGATACAGGTTAAAGAAGGAATCTGTTTTGAAACTCATTAAAATTTCTACGAAACTCAAAGTCTAACTACTCATACAATGCAGGTACATCCAGTTGACGAGTCCAAAATAGGACGAAATGTGCATCCTGGATTCCACTGCTAGTCACCATCCACCAATTAATTTTAAGTTAAATTTGATTAAAAGAGTGTGACCACGGATTGATATCAATTAGAGAACCATTGAAAACCAGATACAGGGAGTACTGGACAGCTGTGGTTGGTGGTCGCGCTAAATCACGAATTGGTAGAAGTCAGAATTCATGGCCCATTGAGGAGTCGGGTCCCAGTGGCTGAATGGTCGTCAACGAGCTTGCCTTGTAACCGGAAGGTCCTGGGTTCGAGACCTGGAGGTGGGTGCGTATCACTGATGATTTCCAAACTAGGCTGAAACAGCTGTCCAGTCCTCTAGAAGTGGTTTTCAATGGTTCTCTAACTGATATCAATCTGTGGTCAAACTTGTATCAACAAATCTAATCCTTACAAACCAACTTTTGAAAATTAAATCTGATTGTTGAATATATTACAAATGCCCGAAGGAATACCTGTTTGGTGGTTCACGAAAGGCAAAAAACCGATGCATACTTTCCCTAACTTCATCTCTTGATGACATTGATGGTGGATGTCATTTCAAATTTACTGGAACTCAGAAAAAAGAGTTTTGCTCACAAGTTGAACTTTCTTTATTTATTGATTTCGTGAGAGTTAACCTTCGGGTCACAAAGAATATTTCCAACAGGTTGCAGACCTTCATCAACAACTGTCTTCGCTCTATACTGAAGATCAGATGGCCGGAAAGAATCACCAACAAGAAACTATGGGAACAAACAAAACAAGAACCAATCGCCCAAAAACTATGCAGGAGAAAGTGGAGATGGATTGGACACTCTCTGAGGAGGCCACTGGGTGACATCGCGCGTCAAGCCAACGCTCGAGTGGAACCCGAAAGGAAAGCAGTGAGTGGGACGTCCAAGGGTGACATGGAGGAGATCGTGTGAAGAGGAGCTGAAACAGTATGGACTAACATGGATGCAGGTGAAAAGTACAGCAGAAGACAGAAACAAGTGGAGACGTGTAGTTGAAGCCCTATGTTCCACTAGGATCCCAAGGGAACAATAATAATAATACATTATAAGAGGTGTCCTTTGGAAACCCAAAAATATTCTTATCACAATATGTTGCCTACAAGTAATGCTGTGTGGCGTGGGCAGTGGTCGTCTACTCATATCAGTCACGAAGTGCTTTCCACCTCTTTTCTATTTGTAAATAATCACATATTAGAAGTGGAATTACTCAAATTTACCAGTGAATCAAATATATATATTCAACTGGAACTCACCATTTTTCCAATCATAATCAATTTCGGTCCTAATGCAATATGAAAACTGAATGTATACATTAAACGGATATAGAAGGTGAATAAACTGATTGCAAGACATATCCTTGATGGATCTAGAATAGGATCTGTTACAATATAATAACGTTCATGTTCAAAGTCGATATTTTCTCCTCCACCCAAACGTAGTAGAACAATTAATCGTAATATAAAACCAACAATGTATAGGGCTAAACCAACACAATCTAATTTATTCCAACCATCTGAAATATACGTTCTAAAACTGATACCGGATAATACAGCCTGAAAAATAGAAGAAGAATAAAGGGAAATTTAATCACATGTTCCCAGTAATTTTTTAAAAATTCTCAATGATTACTTTGCTTTTACTTGATTAATATGGAAGTAAAGAATGAAATTGGGGAACTGCCTATGTTAGACTGCGAAATACAAAGAATAACAAATGGTAGCATTAAAACGATGCTATATAGAGAAACCACACACTCTGGAAGATTCCTTGATTATCACTCAGCTCATCATCCACTCACGGTAAAACGAGGATTAATACAAGGTCTTGCAGATAGAATACGTAGACTTACAACAACGCCAGAGGACAAGTGTAAAGAATTAGAAGTCCTATTCAAAATACTACTCGAAAACAACTACCCAAAAGAATTTATCGAAGATAATATAAAAAAGAGGGTAAAACCGGAGAATAACAAGATGGAAGAATGCAAAAGAACAGTCACAATACCATATAAAAATAGTACATCAGAGGCAATTCAAAGAAACCTCAAAAATGTAGGCATTCATACAACTTTTAAACCGACAAATCTAATCAAAAATAAAATAAATCAACTGAAAGATCCCATAAAAATGATGGATAAAAACAACTTGATTTACAAAATATCTAGTGCTGACTGTCCGACTAAATATGTGGGGCAAACGTCCATATCACTTAAAATAAGAGTGAATGAACATAAATGCCTAACCAAAGGTCAACCAACAGGAACACAAGCCTACAAGAATCTTGAAAAAAATTCATCGGTAGCTGCACATGCATGGGACAAAAACCACAATATCGATTGCAACAATGTGTGTATTCTAAAAGTTAACATGAACAAATGGAAAGAAAGACTTATAACGGAATCTATATTCATTAAAGTCACACCGGATACATGTAACAAGGGTGACTCAGCACAACTACCAACAACTTGGAATATAATTCTGAATACAAAAACATGAATGAGCAAAAATAATGAACTATATATATATACATATATATATATACTTATATATAGAGCATTATTAGAAGACGGAGATTATCTGAAAAATGTGATGTGATATGTTTGCGCAATATACATTTCGAACAATCTGATCACACATTTACTTGTCAGGTCAATATATATATGGAAAAGTTAAGTTAAACAAAGTGACAAAAAAGGAATTAAGAATAATTAACACAAACGTTTGGTAATCCAATCAAATAAGAATTACCAAGGTAGGTTAAGTGTAATAGCAAACTGTTTTTGAATACACAAGGGGAGCTTAAGTTTATGAATGGCTATAGCCTCAGCGTATTTCAGTAAACGTGCTTGACCTTAAAGGCTGAGTTAACATCAACCTTATGGTTCATCTCGATTAGATATTGAGCTATAGACGAAGTTGGTAGTCTGACACCTGCATCTATTGGCTTGTCACAATTCATCTGTTTTTCTAATCATTTTGGGATATGCTCTCCCACCCTCACTTGCAACGCGCGATTACTCCTCCCTATGTATTTATGTCCACACACACACGAAAATTGGTAAATTGTGTGGAATGTGATATAATCACTTGTGCACTTTTGAGGTTTGCTAAACATATAATCGAGATGAACCATAAGATTGATGTTAACTCAGCCTTTAAGGTCATCTATAAAAACGGTCAAACACGTTTACTGAAATACGCTGAGGCTATAGCCATTCAAAAACTTAAGCCCCCCTTGTGTATTCAAAAACACTTTGTTATTACACTTAACCTACCTTGGTAATCCTTATTTGATTGGATTACCAAACGTTTGTGTTAATCATTCTTAAATCTTGTTTTGTCACTTTGTTTGATTCAACTTTTCCATATATATATATTGACTTGACAAGTAAATGTGTGATCAGATGTTCCTTTTATATATATAAACCTCTCTTATGTTAATTTCGATTAATTTCCCTGAAGAAGTTAGGACCAGATTGCCGGACGAAACGCTGGAATTAATTATTTCAATTTCGCTGAGATTTTACAAATATAATTTTTTACAAATGTACAACTCAGACTTTGACTTCTTGGATTTTTGAATTCCAGAATGGATTGACCTCCTTGCTGATTTGATAGAGTAAACATGAATTTTTAGTTTTTTTCTAAGATATTTTGTATTTCGCATTAACTGATTCTCATACGAAACCGAAATTTTCAATCATTACGGACAGGTAGACTCATAGTAGTAACTATGCCTCGACGATATTTGAAGGTTCATCTGATGTTACTCGGTTAATGGTGGCCAGCTATGGAATCCATGATGTTTGACATTCATCAGCTTTCGTGTTCCCATCTGAAACAACACCACTCACTGGATGGGCAAGTATGTTCGCCAACTGACGTATCCCAGACAGGTTGAAATGTGCATAATTCTGAATTCCATTGCTAGACACAATCAACCGAATAGAGTTTTGTTCTTATTTATTTTTGAGATTTGCATTCAATTCTTCTTTCAACAGTATTGTTTTTTCGTTGATAAAAAGTATAACTAACTGTTAAAATTGGATTACATACTTATTTATTCTACTTATCTAATCCCACGAATAGAATCTTTGATAGAATTCAGTGAAACTATTGTTTGTAAAAAAAAAAGGGCACAATTTTGACCAGAAGAAAAATAAAAAAGATATTTTTAGATAAAGCGAATCAATCTAATATAAATGTAAATCCAACAGTCTTCAGATTTCACTCAGATATGATGTCATTGATAACTGGGACACAGATACATTTCTCTATTGTAATCATCATTTCTATGCATTTTAAATTATTACATAACAGTAAAACTACTTCTGGTATCCCTTAAACATACTCAGATGTACGGAAAGAGGCATGTTTAAACGCACGCACACACACACACATGAAGTTGTAGATCAACAAGAGATTTATGCTATAATAAGGTATTATTTGTCACGAATAAACCTTTTTTCGTATTTGCCCTTCATCCTGCCTACAATTTATCAGTAAATATCAAGTCTGAATATGTAGACAGACAAAAAATGACATAATAACTTGAGAATACATGAAATTTAAATTTTGGGAGAGAAAGAAAATGATAGAGAAAAGAAAGAATGAGTTGTAAAAACAAAAACATGAGTTTTTTATTCATACACTGAACTTACCCAAGCAATCTTTATTTATTCATGATAGGTTTGCATAGTGGGTGAACAACCGGTTTTGTGTTTGTCGGTATAGTTCGTTGAAGGAAATCGAAATGGACAGGCAAATGAAGAATTTAAACAAGAAAATTATAACAATAACGTTAATATTAATAGTAATACTTATGCATTTATGCATTACTTAGTTAATTCATATGTTTCGGTAGAAAGACTCCTCAACTGAATACTCCTCTACAAACATTGTTATTTATATGTTTCTGTCATAAGGTTAAATACACACAAGCACATGAACATTTTGACAGCGAGGAACCTTTGAAAGTGTAAACCTAGTTAGGAACTCGTCAGCAGTGTGCACCTACTGGGTTTCGGACCTTTGACCTTCCGGTTAGAAGGCAAGATTATATACCATTCAGCTCGCTAAACTCGACTGTGTGGACTATGAATTCTAACTTCTACCAATTCGTGATTTTTAGCGCGACCACTAACCAATGTCATCGGTGAGCTTGCCTTGTAATCAGAAGGTCCTGGATTCGAAACCCAGTAGGTGTGTACTACTGACGAGCCCCAAACTAGGATGAAACAGCTATCCATTACTCCCAGCTGGTCTTCAGTGGTTCGTTAACTGATATCTATCTGCGGTCTGATTAGAAAAACAAATCAAATCCGTACAAATCAAGTTATAAATGTCCAAACCAAGTTTAACATAGGTAAACCATATACGAACAAGTAAGAAGAATAAACATGTCTGATCTGGGTTCATAAGATTTTTTGAACACTCCTCACCCAGATTAATATCCAACTATGATTATTCGATTTGCGCATATCCTGAGGAAACTAATAGTGATAATAGAAAAAATTATCAAGTATTTGTTTTTGTAAGGACTTTTTGTTTGATTGGTTGGAGGATTTCCTCATGAGTTGACATCTGTTAGAGAACCATTGGAAAACCTGCGGGGAGTCCTGGTTTCCTCCATTTAAGTTTGGGACTCTTCAGCAGCACGCATCCACCGGAGCTGGAACTCACGACCTTCTGGTTACAAGGCGAGGTACCTCGTAAACTATGAAGCCGCTGGCACCCGATCCAACGGCCAGCCAGTGAATTCCAAATTCTGCCAACTCATGAATTAGCACAACCACTTCGAAATGTCTTCTTCGGTGGGTTACTGCCTCACCTTTAACTTGCTCCACTCTACTGGTCACGGCTTCCCACTAGAACCCCAGGTAACTACCTACATAGGGTCAGTCACTGGTGAGCATCACGTCCATTTTCAAGTATTGGTTCTTGTAGGGATTTTGTTTTGTTTGTTGGGGGATTTCATGGGCCGTTGGATCGGGTGCCAGTGACTTAATGGCCTTCGAGCTCGCCTGTTGTTTCCTATGTAGTGACATGTTTTTACTGTAAAATCTAAAGTGTCGGGAATCAATTCCCTCCTGAATATGAACTGCAAAACTGTAGAAAAGGAATAAGCGCAGAACATATCAACTCTTCAGTGGCGCTTAGCTTGATATATATACTTGTCCGGATCAATCCTTCTCCTCGGTTGTCATCTGAATCATTAGAACCGACATAATTAAATACTGAAAGAGCTTTATCAAATGAAAAATTAAAGGTGCTAAGCAGAAAAGCTAGTCTTCTTCTCTTTTACCTGTTTAATTTCTTCTATGAACAGTGTGATTACCCATGCAATGACAATATATTCAACAACTGTTATATTGATCCTGAAATCCACCAGTAAAAGATAACTGAACAAGATGAGAAATGTCATATAAGAAAGCTGGAAAATAAAAGAAAAAGGTAAAGACAAAACACAATGAGATAGACAGACAAGAAATATAATCATGTCAAATTTTTGAATGTTGCGTTTTGTCAACTTCTGAGTAAATAATCCTTGACACGGGTCATAAGGTGGATGTCGCAAGATCCTTCAAACTTATCAATAGTCAAAAGAGTTCAATTCTCCTTAAGTTTGCCGAAGCAGTCACAATCAGGCGCCGGAAATCCGATTTATGCATGTGTTCAGAAAGAAGCGGTTATCAATCTTTCCTTGCCCATCTTAGTAACTGAATGTTTCCATCCTTCCCTTCATCTGATTACGTAACGCCGAAAGATTCTATTGTGTATGATTATTATTAGCATTGTATGCATATACTGATTGATTTTTGTTTAAACCTGAACTGTCTGTGCAAGTATGTTAAAATTGTTACTGTAGATAAACTTGAAAATGTCTTTGAGCTGTTAGCAGATGATGAGAATCCAACGAAATAACCAATGAAATAACCATTTCATTCTGCACAAACTCTTGTTCTTGCTTTTTTCAAGTTAAATAATCTAACCTTGTAATTTTATTCTTCGATTTAGCCATCATAATTTCAAGTTTAGGGAAAAAGATCACACACAACAAACATGACTACAAGAGCAACGACATTATGAGAAGGGTAAATAAAAGATTAAGCGCAGCCTTGTTTAGGACGTATCCTGCAACATTATTAGTCTCTCTACCCCGAACAACCCCCTCACTGGTGCAATCAAGGATTGACAAGTACCCCTCACATGTTACGTCTAACTGTGTATACCAATTCAAATGTATCTGCGGGAGCAGTTTCATTGGAAGAACTGAGAGAAGGGTCTACGTCAGATTCTGCGAACATGTACCAAGGAGCCTCCGGTTAAAGGGACCGAATTGTTTAAGCTGTTTAATCGTCAAACACCTGACTGACACAGGACACCGAGTAGATTTGCTGGAATCATTCAAAATAAATAACGGAAAAAGTACCTCAAGTTTTCTCAGGTTTTCTGAAGCTATAGCAATACAACGATTGAAGCATGACTTATGTGTCCAAAAAGAATCCATTGTTGGGCTTCAATTACCTTGCTGACTCACATCTTAGTAACTCTTTGTTTTCTAACTTTATTAACTTATCTTTCTACTCTCCCTCCCTTTATTTTTCGCTTGACTCTCTTAAGAGATAATTGTTCTCAATCTTCTGAGTTGTGCTCACTGTATTACATCATCAACATCTCATCTGACCTCATGTGTACCGAAAAATTTTGATCTTTACTTATCCAATTACGTAAATATTTCTAATTTTCTTTTGTTGCCACACCAACAACACAACTGTTTATTAATTTTTTTCAAGAAACGTCTCTCTAACTAGATATATATATATATGTCGTAACACTTTAGACACCCTGTAAATCGCAACGCCTTATTTTACTATGACGCTCTGACAACATGCTTGCTAATGGACAAAAGAAGTTTGTTAAAATTGTACACTTTTTATTTGATTAAAGAATTCAGTTTGTACGCAGCTGATGAGAACCGACGAAATAAAATGAATCCAGATTATTCTGCGCCAATGTTTCTTCTTTCTTTGTTCAAAAAGAACACTGCCAAGAGGATGCTTTAAACACTACAATTTCTAATGGAAAAAGACTAATGGACCACGAAAGGCACTTCTTATGCGATGAGTTGCATCTAGAACTACTTATCTATATTTGTGATTTCTTGGTGATAAATCATATTCTTCATCGGTAGAATACTCTTCAATCACTCCTCACGTGGTTCAGTTTTGATCCCCAGCTGATGCACTGGTAAACATCACTTCGACCCGCAATGTAGGACTGTTGGGCGTGAGGTTAGCAAGCCCACCTCTTATTACAAAACGATAAACACCACTGCTACCGAATCTTGAAAGTCCAAGCTCGAAGCTCTTTGTTCCACTTATAACTTACAGGATTAAAATTTCAAGAAACAAATAAAAAATCTGAACTACATTGGTTAGTCTCATTTCGGTTTATGATCTCCTTGAATGGAAACCCCAATAATCCTAATTGACAAGTCTCATGTTGGACGAAATGTGCGTCAAGAAATCTACCTACTTCTAGCAATCAGCAAAACAAGTAACTTTAAGATATTAATTCTGATAATATTGTTGCATTCATTTAAGCAGCCCATATACAGAAATGGAATTGACCAGTTCAGTTCACATATACCTCCAGAACCACCGGTTGTTCGGCGGCGGGGCGCCAGCCGACCAAGGACGTGGTCTGGGGTTCGAGTCACTGCCAAGGCACGCCTAAACCTCCCTCAGCCAGTTGCAGTCCTGACAAAAAATAAGGTTGGGCATGAGGCCAGCAACCCATCACTGCTGCTGAAAATTCAAAACTAAAACTTGAGGCCCTACAACAAACATGAATGGGTAATGGGTGCTCCTGTTGAAGCCTTTCTGACAAGTAGTCACCTCAGTTACTACTTTGTTCCTTTGCCACCTTCACTCAGCTTGTGATGTTCAATCTTTTATTTTGAAGTATTTTTTGTTTGAGTGATATCTTTGGTCGCTTCAGGCCTATGAACTACTCAAACGAATGCTAAAAACGCACTCTGGAACTCATTTTGATACCTTAGTCCTGATAGGTCTAGAAATACTCCATTGTATAGAAACTTGGACGTTTAAAGGCTAAACATAATGTTCGTGGGCAAATGGTGGGTGATGACTAGCAGTGGAATCCAGGAAGCACATTTCGTCCTATCTGGGACTAGTCGACTGGATGTCCTTGGATTACCCAGTGGATGATGTTGTTCCCGCCGAGGCTCGAATCCGCTGCCCATTATTTCAAACGCCAAGGCGTTATCAACTAGGCCACTTGGACCACGAGAGCTACCTCTTGTGCAATGGGCCTTATTAATTATTTAGTCCAATTTGGATTTTTCCTTCGATTGACTAGATCATCCACCAACTGACTTCTAGTCACATGATCAGACATCGTCAAAGCATCTGCACAAGGAGCCGACATGTTAACCTGAGGCCAAGCACTTCGGTCCAATCAAACAACGGGAAAATCAAAATTGAATTAAAAAGGGTTCATGGTATCAATGAGAATTTCATTACATACTGCGATTCTCTGAGACATATCTGACTGGTGAATATCGAAAGTGGTATACTCTAATAGTCATACATTTTTCAGAAAGTTTATATTTAACTAAGGCTGAACATCTCCGTCCAGTAGAATCAAATATTACTCAGTAAGTAATATGTGCGTTCATTAGCCCTTTAGAGGACAGTTTTGCTAGTCAGAGATTTATTCTACCGACTGTTAAGGAGTAGTCAGATGATGAGATAAAGTGAACTTAAGATAGGTGCTATCATGAATACATTATAGAAAAAGCATAAATATGAGAAAAGAGAATATTTCAACTTACAGTATTATACACAAAACGAATAACAGGTGCCATATAGAAATCACGAATCTGTGAAATAAATTCTAATGTTCTCACTTTAAGTGTTTTACGTACACTGAAAATGAAATGAAAAAGGCAAGCGAATTACATCGAAACTACTTAAATTGTTTGTTGTATTATAATGAGTAGTAAAGATACGAACAAAACCATATGGTCTTTAGTTTTCGCAACTTTCTTATCCTCAACACTTATTTGAACACCCTGTATCATTACCCCAGTTAAGTTACGAACATTAGTTGGAAACTACTCCAAATATCTGTCAAAAGAATATTGTTTTGAACTACTTGCATTATTGACGGACAAGTGAGCTGTCTCTCTCGACTGTTATTCCAATCAACCTCAGCTTCCAAGAGTTGTTGTTTACTATAAATCAAACAGGTGTATGCTATTACTTATCAACTATAGGCGACACAGATGCGGGTGTTAAAACCAGTCAGGATCGGAAAGGCAAGACACACCTTCACACTTTGAAATCAGTTTCGAATCTTCTGCGCTCAGCGAGCATAAAGAAAAATATTGGAACTTGCAACGTCAGTTTTAAGTCAGTAACTTCTATACGGATCAGAATCTTTGCCGGCGAGTTACGCAAAGTGTTTTCAACAGGCCACTACAGACCTATATCATCAACTGCCTTCGTTGCCTCCATACTGAAGGTCAAATGGCTGGGCAGAAGTAATTAGAAACAAGGAACTCTGAGGATGAACCAACCAAGAGCCAATAGCTCAGTAAATATCCCAAAAATGGAGATGGATTGAATACATGACACTGAGGAGACCGTTGGTTGACATCAAGTTCCAGGAAACCGCCGGAGTGGAAGCTGGATGGAAAACGGCATATTGGGCGTGTGTCGCGAGGGTGGCATGGAGGAGGTCGTGTGGCGAGATGAAGACGAGAGACTATGGACTAAAGAGGACCGCGGGGAATAGGACAAGGTAGGAATATGCTGTTGAAGCCCTGTGTTCCACTTGGAACCTAAGGGAACAGTAATAATTACTTATTATGACCGTCATTTACTTCTAATTAGCTCTTATTTTCATCATTAATTTCAGTAACTTCTTAGACTCCTAATAGATCTACATCTATGCTAATTCACTTATCCTCATATTCGGTATACACCGTAATGTTGCATGATAAATTCACTACACCATTATCTGACCGCCAAGTGTCGTCTATATCACCACTTTTACAAAAATCTGAAGATAGCTGACAAATGTAGTAACTCTCTGATTTTAATTACGAGTAGTAAACTGGCTGTGTATTGATCAGTTCAATTATTTACCGAGCTGAATCATCAACCATTGGAGTATGTTCGTTCATGTAGAGTACTCATGTGGTATTCATCAGTCTACATTATATGTATTGCATTTATAGAAGTCAGTATGGATGACACATTGGATCCAATCCCTGTGACTGAGTGGTCAACGAGCTCGCTTTGTTGGCTTAAGATCTTGTGTTCGACCCCTCGTTAGGGTGGGGGTGTATGCAGCCAAAGAATCTCAAACAAAGACGAAACGGATGTCTAGAACTAACTGGTTTCTAATGTTCCTGTCACTGAAGTCAGTTCTCGAAAACAACAACAACGCAAATTTCAAAAACTTGAAAGAGAAATGCTTATTTAAAATGGTTTCCCTTGGGTCTTAACTGTGTTTCTAAAGTTGACTGTTACTGCAAAGTAAAGTACAAACATCAAATTCATTATTTACTTATTCACCTACCCTTTTTTACCAGCATCTTCTACATTTGTATATGTTGAAATATGATCATGTGCAGATGCATGATGTTCAGAAGCAGCAACGGATTCCTAGACGTCAGTGAAAAATACACTTTGTTATATATAATTAAATAAACATATAGAAGACATGAAGATAACCTACCATAAGTGAACACTCCCTAAGATGAATAGATTTTTCTGATTACAGCTTGATTACACACCGTATTATTGGTACAGTTATGGAATTTTCAGCATGTGATATCAGTAGCCCAGATTTTGTAGGCCGACCAATTGATATCAGGTGTGCGTTGGTAGGGGATCGAATCCCGGGCCATGTGCATGGTCGGCGAGATTCCTATCCGCTGTGCCACCGACGCACTACCCTAATAACTTGTAGATCAGCTGAATGATACTGGTGTTGTTGTGTTCTTTAAACTGTAAAGTTTAACGGCTAAGCTTTCATTATCCTTCTAGACACCATATCTAGTGCTAACGTCAGAATGGAGAAGCACACAGTAACACCAGTATGACAATACATATTACTTACGCTATCTTTACTAGTACGAACATGTCATTAATTCACTACTGAACACGATTATCGGTGGGTTGATGGCTCACCGATACCAGTAAGTCAATCAACAGTTGAATATGACGGTTAGCCACAGTTACCTTTTTCAAAGCGAAATTACTGATATCACAATCTATGATCTGTTTCATCCCATAAATAGAAATATTGCAGTTTTAGACGGTTGGAGGCAATCGGCCATAGGAAGCCTTACACCTAGGTTTCGTGCTAGTTGGCACTCACCAGTCAACAAGGCGTATCTGCAACCTTGAAGGAACTCATGTCCCTTCTGAGATTCGAACCTGCTTCACCCAATACTGCAGTCACAGACGTTACCAACGAGCCATTCGGGTTCGCGACTGACCTCCTGTAGGGCTGCCTGCAACCATCTTTTATTATCAAATCAATGTGCACCGTGATGGCGAGCTCCCTAGAATGGTGGCCACATTGCAAAGTTGACTGATAGAATTCAGTCTGCACCAAAGAAAAGACTAGACACATCACACTAGTTACTAGTGTTCAATTAAAATATTGCAGTGTGCTATATGCTGATCTAGTTCCTCGAGTTGGATCGAAATGGGTACAGAACCAGTGGAAATGCAGTCTGGTGTTTTAATCAACTTAATCTAGTTGTCATGCTCTACTTGTTGCCATGATTAGTTTTCAACTACTTAGTTTGTAACGCCAGAAGGCAAGGGTCAGGCAACAGATCATCTATTAAGGAAATCAACGCATATTTATATATTTTCATGTACATTACTATGGTTATTTAAGTAAACAAACACAGTCTTCCGATTGGTTGTTTCTCACTGAAAGTTAATCTTTCACCTATTTGTGACTGTTTCTTGAATGTCAAATCCTCTATATGTTAACTGCATCCGCCTACGCAAAGTCTGCTGTGGTCGGTTTTTGAATCAATCTTTGTTCACATTTTCTCACGACAAATCTTGGGAACGTAAATATTGACGTAAATTACTGTCTACCAATTTGGCTAGTAGACAGCTCTCACCACAAGTTCACTTCAGTAGTATATAACATTAGGCTAATCGATCTAAGAGTGTATGGCTTCTGAAAACAGTCAATTAAAATCAAGATGGCTTAGACAGATCGATTATTTCTTATACACCTTATAAATTCTATGTGCTTATTTTGTTTTAAAGAAGTTCTTTTTCCATGAAAGTCGCTCTAAAATGTATGAGAACCAATAATTCATTGTAACATTTGTTTGGCGGTGATGGTTAGTACAGGATCCAGAATGAGCTTTCAACTCACTTCAAATTCCTTACGGAGATGAACCTTCATTTTGGTGCACATGAGACTTGTGTCATACAAAAGTGATTCAAAAGTGAAGCTTTATCCACCAGACTACCTAAATAGAATGATTCAAGTATAGTTGATGCACCACGGTGTATTCTTGCGATTTGAAGTTAGTATACAGGAATCTATAAGTGAATAATTCCATCAATACAGGTCTTCGTTCGAAAATGAAAGCCTGAAGGTGGTTCAGGATGGAAAGGTGACAAAAAGCTGTATCGGAAAATCTACAAACTACGTATTTTTAGGAGGAAATCGGGATGGATTGGACACACATTCCAAGAAGACCTTCAAGGACATCACACGCCGGGTCAGCGAGTGGAAACCAAATCAGAAGAAGCATGAAGATCATCCTTATTCAAAAAGTTTAACATTTATAGTTCGCACATACAAGAACCACTGAGATGGAACAGAGTTTCAACTGTTTGGCAGCCAAGAAATTCAGCAGAACATGAAGACTGATGATATGACTTTAGAATAAAAACAATCGAATTAAACAAACTAGTTCACACAAGATCTGATTTGGTACATGAAAAAAGGTGTCTTTATAAGATCTTTCTCTTAGTACATTGATTATATTATAAAAATAAGAGGTAAGAAGATAAGAATATAAAAGTTTGGAGGTAATTCATTAGCAACACAGAATTCATTTGCTCACCTCTCCTTCAACTGTATGACCAGATTTTGGTTTGGATAGGATGATTTTAGGGATTAGAAATGGTAATGTCAAACCACAAACGATTCCCAGAAAATACTATACAATATCAATAGAAAAAGGATAAAATATAAAAGCAGTTATTGAACAATACATAAATGAAAACCAATATGAACAATACTGAAATACACTGAAGTGAAAACTGTGCCAGTATTCTGTTCCTGTGAAGCAACACACTGATCGAATATGTACAGGCAGTCGGCATGAATGGTTCTAAAGCATTTCTCATCTGAATTCGGTGACTGAAGTGGTTGAACATCCTTTCACTCATCTGGGGTTAAACAAAGACGTACTCACAGTAACTTAACCCATGCGTGTGCATCGTTTCAAGAGTTCTTTCAACTGGGGGACTCACTAAATACAACCTTTAAGAGGGTGTCTGTCTGTCTATTTTCAACACAGAACTTTGCACTGGTGTGCACTAGTTCAAGTCGCCGTCGACATAACTTCACAGCCTCATCTATTGATTTGCCCTCCTTACCTTGCATTCGACCGATGCCTAGACTCAATATTACTCGCCTTATGTTCCACTTCACACGGGAAGACTTTATGCTCAGATGACTAAGTAAAAAAATGCTATAATAACTTATTTAGAATAAATTTTATGTTATGAGGCGTGACACTACTAATTTACTGGGAAACACTAAGTAAACGATACTTTTTATTCTCTCCTTCATTAATATACTCTTGTTAATATTTTCGTTTAACGTTTAATTTTATGTTCATACCCTTTTGAACAACATTATCAGCGTAAATGCCCTGTTTAATTATGTCACCTTTTATTATGTAGAGAGGAAATTAGCTACAATATGGTGCTGAAGATTCCACATTGTATCGCATGTACTGTTTATAATAAAGCCTCTGATATGATACTCAGACTCAGTGTAGGATGAAACCAGCCGTCGGTCAAGACTGTAGTCGGGGAAAAATTACATGGGACATTAGGAAAATGAAAGATCACTACATCGCTTTCAAAACACTCCAATAGTATCATCCATTATACATTAGATGCTCTTTTTCTCCTGGTTTTTTGTTGCTCCTTAATTTCTATTAATATATGTGTAAAACTCCGGCACTGTTGTAGTAAGTAATTCCATATTAATTTGCTTATTAGATATATCACACATTGAAGAAACAGTATTATTTATTGGATGACAAAGTTTCAAACACAATTTATTCGTGTACATAATCATATCAATCATAATTACACGACTTCGAAACTTGAGTTTTATAGTTTTCTTTGTTCTCTCCTATTTGTCGTCGTAGGGGTAGTAGAATTTTCCAGATATCTGGGTGGACAGGTGTTGAATCATTCCTATTACACGTGTTTGCAGTTGATTCGATAAACAAAGCTTTTGTTATCAATCTCTCCCTCCACCCGGCTGTTACATTAGATTTTAAAACTATCGTCTTATCCCATCCAGCCTATTGTATGGTTGTGTGTAATTGCATGTAGTGGGTGCTACAGCTGAAGCATTCTCAGAAGTTCTTATTTTATTTGGGTCAACTAATCCAGATTTTGCTAGGTTTTTATGTTCGGGTAGTCTGACTGCACCTGTCCTACTACTTTCACCTATGTATTTGACCTGACAATCATTGCAGCAGGGTATCAGATAAACTAAATTGTTTTGTTTAAAGGGCTCTACAGGATCCTTTGAAAGAAAAAGCTTGTTTCTAATTGAGTTTGTGGGTTTGAATGTCAGCCGCTGTTATTCCTGCATTGTTAAGAATTCTCTGTAAGGTTTCCGAGGTTCCTTCTTTGCCTGGAAGTACTAATGATAATTAAGATTCCTTATTGTTGGTGTTGACATAATACTGTGCATGTTTGACGTCCATGTCGTCATTAATATTATTATCACTATCATTATTATCATCACTATCACTACTATCATTATTTATTTTATTTTCACATTTTCCTACATATTTCCTGATTAATTTATCAGGGTAATTATTAAGTTTCAAAGCTTCTCTCATATGCCTCATCTCCTGTCTTAGATTTTCCTTGGTACTACTTAGTTTTTGTGCTCTATTACCTAAACATTTCACCACTCTTAATTTTACTGGCATAGAGTGAGATGTTTGGAAATCCAAATAGTTGTTTGAACGTTTAGTTTCGGTAATAAAATCTTCGAGTCAACTGCCAACACGTGTAATACGGATGATTCAACACCTGTCCAGTCGAACATGTAGAAAATTCTACTACCCCAACGACGACAAATAGGAGAGAACAAAGAAAACTATAAAACTCAAGTTTCGAAGTCGTGTGATTATAATTGAAATGATTATGAACAATAATAGACTGTGTTCGAAACTTTGTCATCCAGTAAATAATACTGTTTCACACTAATATGGAGCTCCTTAAGTTCCTTTGAGTGTTTAAACTTCCTTCGCATATATCTTCACCGGCGGTTTCTCAGCTGACGCATAAATCATCATTGATCTTTAGGAGACGCGTTCTGCATACTATATATATGTTTATAAGGAGTACATGGCATGATAGCACCGTAGTCAGACGTTTCAAAACGTAACATGAATTTTAAATCTAAAATGTACAAATATCAGTGACAACCAAAGAAGACGTATCATGATGACTGAGTGTTCCACACCAAAAGCTCTCTGCAAGGACGTAAAACTGAACCTGAGAACATTAAATTTTTGTTGACACAGCTAATAGATGACGGAAGGAGCCTCCTTTTGAAATAATATTTGTTATTGTTGCTGATTGGCTGTTGGCAGTGGAACCCAAGATGTGCATTTCACCTTATTTGGGACTCGTCGACAAGATGGACCTGTATCCGTCATGGGCGATGATGTATCTAACTCTACTTATCAGAATGAAAAATAATTGATGCGTAAGAAGATAGTGACTTCTAAGAATCAAATTGAAATTACCCGAAATACACTATTCTTTGTTGATAGATTACCACTCCATGTATTGGTAAGAAAATCTTGACAGCATGGATGGGCCATAAATTTAATACTTTGTCCTTCAGCAGCCAATTTAATCACTGAACTACGACCATAATAGATTAATTCATGATTAATAATTAATTGTGTACGATGTTCATCCTCTCGATAACATTCATTCAATACACCTTCTGCACGTTCTTGAAAATTCCTATTCAACAAAAGAAAGAAAATTAGGTAGAACATTCAGTTATTAACCAGTGTCCAATCAGGAGTTCATTGGCGAGCCCGAACAGCTCAGTGGTAACGTCTCTGACTGTAGCACTCACTGGGTGACGCGGGTTCGAATCTCAGAATGGACATGAGTTCTTTCGCGGCTGCAGATACGTCTTGCTGACTGGTGAGTACCAGCTAGCACGAAATCTAGGTGCCAGGCTTCCTATGGCCGATTGCCTCCAACGATCTAAGAAGCAAAAGACTATAAATGTATTTGATACTATACAGTGATAATATCCTGTGAGTATGACTCTTCTAACGTATCATAAATACTAAAAACTTTGAAAAAGCATTCACTATCTTCGCGATATATATTTTCTCCCATAAACGAAGGAGATTAAACGTCTAAATATATGAATTATTGTTTTCGAAGTGACGCTTTAGTTATATCCTCAATAGCAGTACATTCACCAATAGGCTAACTGGCTAGCAATCATTGCCATTGATTACTACTCACAAAATATCCATTTTGAACGAATGAATGACTACACATTACAGTAAGTCAATACATGGTGAATATTCTTCATATAACACTAGGAGAAACAGGTGAATACCATTCAAACCGTACAGTTTATTCTTCACAAGAAGAAAAGCCTTACGATATGATAAAAAGTCAACTTACTTTGCAAAGCTTCTATAATCTTCTTTATCAGTAAAGTCATCTGTTTTATTCCCCAAAGATGTTAAAAGTATTGAGGCCAGTAAAGCTGCTGCTATAGGTTCCTATTAACAAATAAGAGGAATATAAAAGAAAGAATATTTCATCAGTGAAAGCATTGGAATATTTTTTTGTAGCATAATTGAGGACATGAATAGTAAGTGAAAGGATCAGTTCTTCTGCGGTTTTAGTTGCTCTTCAGTTACCTGTCGACTTGCTGTGACAATTTTTCGTCAATTTAGCTTAAGAGATTTCAACAAAAGTCTACTTAAAAACATTTCTATCTGACTTCTAGCAAAACAGAAACACCACTATCATGCTTTTTTAGTCTTGTGAACTGACTGCATTTTAGCTCTCAAGTTTCCATTGCTGTGAACAAGCTAAAAGATTCATCGTAGCAGTTCACTCTGAAATAATATTAGGTAGTTGGACGAAGTTGATAAGATTTCCTGACACTCGTCAGGAAGGCATATCTAACAGACTATTTATTGAACGTGTGTCACCCAATACAGCAGTCAGGGAAGCGCAGAAATTTACCTCTGTCTCTCTTTCTTCCCATCTCTGAGCTTCGACCTCAAACCTTAAACTGTAAGGGAAGTCATCTGCAAAGCTGCTGACTTTCGACAACTGCTTTTATCATAATTCTGTCCTTGTTATTAATAAAGAAACTTTTAAATAGAACACAAGTCACAATTTGTCGTATATGTGATGTCCTTAAGTGTCTTCAATCTCTCAAACCTACTCAGTCCCTTGGTCCTGATGGAGTTCCTGCTGTTATCCTTAAGAAGTGTGCTGACATCTTATGTTACCCATTAACCGACATTTTCAATGAATCTTTTTCCAAAAGTATTATTCCTGACTCATGGAAAAATATCAAGGTTGTTCCAGTGCCCAAATCAACAAGTGGACCTACTGTCAAGTTTAGACCCATTGCTACTACCTCACCTTTTTTTAAAAGTTATGGAAAGACTTATTTTACTTAATCTTGAACCCTCTTTAAAGCCTTTTAATGACCCCTACCAGTTTGCCTATAAACATAGTAGGTGTACCTTAGATGCCGCTGTTGTTCTATATCATAATATAGTCTCTAGTTTAGATAGAGGAGCTAAATATGTCCGGTGTGCCTTCCTTGATTACACATCTGCATTTGACTCTTTACCTAGGTCTCTCTTGCTAAGTAAGCATGCTGCAACACAGAGTGAGAGCTGGACAAATAAGTGGTTGCATTCCTATTTCTCTGATAGGAAGAGGTACACCGTCTACAATGGAAAGTCCTCCACTACCTCACTTACTTTAGCTGGTGTTCCTTAAAGTGCTGTTCTTTCTCCTTTTCTGTTTTCTTTTTTCTTACATGACTTGCCCCATTCCGATGTAGCCACTTTTGTCAAGTCTGTCTCTATGCCTGTCAACTTTCAGTCAGATTGTTCCAAATTAAATAACTTTCTGTCGGAAATTAGTCAGTGGTCCTCTTCAAACGGTCTTAAGCTGAATCCGTCTAAATGTCAGGTTGTCAATTTCACTTTCAGACGAAAACGTGACCTACAACAACTAGCTAGCTCACATGGTCCCACTATCATTAACGGCATTGAGGTTGAAATTACATCGAATGTCAAGTACCTTGGACTGAGTATTTCCTCCGATCTTTCCTGGTCCTCTCACATCTTGCTAGTTACTAGAAAGATGTTTCGCTTAACGTTCTACGTTAGGAAGTTAAGGCAGTCTGGTATAAAGCAGTTTTTGCTTTCTAAGTTTGTCAACTCTTGTATTCTAACCATCCCTCTTTACTGCTCCCCATTAATCTTTCCTGGACTACTTAAGAAAGATTTTGCTTTGCTGCGTAGGGCACTAAAAGCTGTTAGTAGGGCAAGTGGGATTTCGTTAAACCACCTGGTTACTACTATTGTGGAGAGACATATAATGTCATGTAAGAAACTAGCGAATTCTATATTGTCAGACCCCGAACACCCTCTCCATACGCAGCTCTCTCCTTGCATTTCATCTGGTAGAACTAGAAGCAACTATAGGAGGCTATATGCCAGGACTACCAAGTACAAAAACTCTACAATACCTTATCTGGCACAGCTGTTATGTGATGAGAAATCCGTTAGGTATGACACGATCAACTTACTGCGGCACTCTAACAAATAGTTCCCATTAGCTTTTGTTCTCCTTTCTTTGTTACTATTATATTGTTGCTCACATATTGTATTACACACTAATTTTATATTTCATATCCTGTGGTGCATTGTTTAAATATGTGAATGCAATGCTGTTCTTTTTTATTTCTCTTTTTTTCTTTTTGTTGTTGTTGCTTTCTATTTTTAAGATCTTATAAAATTTATGAGGTAATTAGCTGCAATATTGTAATGCACACTGAAAATTCCATACCTGTACAACAAATACTGTTTGGAATAAAGCTATTATTATTATTAAATGTTTATCTGGTTCCATCTGAACAGGTCGTAAACATTGAATCTTCAGGAAATTTCACATGCTACTCCTTTTAACATGTCATTGATTGACAAATAAATATCTTTCAAATCATTGTCCTGCCTCTCGGAATGAGCCCACTGTGACTGCATTTCAGGTCAGTTTTCTTTTTTGAAATAGTTACGTTTCTGCGATTTAACTTCCTAACACGTTTCGTCCCCAAAAGGAACAATCACCTAAACTAGCTAGAAAAGTGGTTTTTACTTATGTATTTCGACGGTCATAACTACTGGTAAAGTGTTCTTTGCCCCTTCTCAGCAAACTCGACGCATGATCTCTACTAGCAGTAAATAATTCGTCATCTCCTCTACTGGCGGACAAAAAATCTCCATTTAATGAAATATTGTGTAGTATTGTAGAATACTGTCTAAAGTAGTTTTTAAAACTCTTTTCATTGCTTTTCATTCCCCGTAGAACATAGGTCTTCAGGCTTCAGCTTTGGAGTATCAGAGGTTGCTAGCCATTTCCTGTTAATCGGGCTTACAACTGGCTAAGGAAAGTAAATGTTTGCACAGGTGGGGATTCGAACCCTGTACAGTGTGCGAGCATTCTACCGCTGAACCACGCTAAAAATGCTGCCTGCAATGGCAATATAACAAAAATATTCATCAATGGAAACCTTGAAACCGTCCCTAAAATTCATCTTGTCCCATTTAAATGCAGAGATAATCCGAAATCACATGAGAGTCGAATATGTTTTGCATTTAACAAGACTAACAGACGAAACTTTTAGAATATGATGAAATGAATCAGATGCGGAAATCAATCAATGTTTTGTGGTGGGTGATGAATAAAGGTGAAAGGAAGATAGGCATCACAGTGGAATTGGAACCAGTCACGTCGAAACAAAATAGTTCGGCTTCGTACAGCTGAGCTACGTGAAGTTCGCAGCGTAGCCACCGTACCTACTTGGCTCATCGTCACGGTGCACTTTGAACTGTTGTTATTAGATGATTGAACGCATTCGGCAGAAAACTTTGGGTTTAATTTTCATGTCTGCCGGCACTGGTCAGCTCAGTAGTAACATCTCCGATTGCACAGCTGCGTTACCAGGGTTCGAGTCTCAGAAAAGGAATAAGTTCGTTCAAGACTGCAGATACATCTTGCTGACTGGTGAATATCAAGATTCACGAAGCCCAGATCCAAAGCTTCCTAACATCAGCAATTCAAAGTCTACTGCGATGGTGATCCACCTAGTATGATGACCACATTTCAAAGTTGACCGATATAGTCAATTCAGTCTACACCAAACGAAGGACTAAATACAATTTGTCAACTCTTGTATCTTACCTGTTCTACTTTACTGCTCCCCGTTAGTCTTTCCTGGTGTTGAAGGTAGTTTGTAGGACTAGTGGTGTAAAAGTCAGTCAGCTCGTCACTACTTTAGTTGATAGGCATCTGAATACATGCGAAAAATGGTCTAAACCCATACTCTCCGACCCCCAACATCCCCTCTATTCCCAACTCTCACCTTGTATCTCATCAAGTAAAACCAGAAATCAGTACAAAACAATCTATGCTCGTACAACCAAGTACAGGAACTCAACGATACCATACTTGGCCCGTGTTCTAAGCGACAGAGACAATGTTAAGCGCGAAACCTATGACTTGCTTTGTTATTAATAACATAATTTTAGGCTCTTTTATTTCTCTCTTATTTTGTATTCTATAGTGAACTCCTTCTTAAACATACTTAGCTACCTAAATTATTAACATTGGCTTAATTTTTTGTACTTTACTGTATTCCTTCTTTTGTGTATCTACTGGTTCCGACTATATTAGCACTATGAGTAGTACAAAATTGTCCTGTCATTAACCATCATGTAATTATTAGTTTTGTGGTTGTTTTTTCTTATTTTTTAAATTTTTTTCGGCAATATTAACTGACAATCATTGGTTGTGAACACCATTATCACCATCTTAAAATTTTGTATTATTCAGGATTACTCACACTACCACTACAAACACTGCATTAGACCTGACAATAAAAAACAAAACAACAACCCTGAAATGTTATTTTATGATTGTTTAGTGTTGTTTCAACCAAATTAACTGATCATCTTGGCGATAAACATTCTTAAATATCATTTCATAACTTCTTGTAAGACTATAGCTTTACTGTCACCATGCATAATCATATCATAGCTTCCACTACCCAATACTGAGTTGTTATTATTATATGCTGTTTATTTTTCCTTTCTACTTCTTGGTATTTTTTCGCATTTTTTAAAAATTATTTTGTGTTTTTCCTGTTTTTTTGCTGTTGGTGTCTTTATATTTATTTATTTTTTTTGAAATACTCCTTTTAAATGTTTGATAAAATTAGATGCAAATATTGTAGATATGTGCTGAAAATTCCACACTGTACCACTAGTACTGTTTCTGGAATAAAGCAAATTATTATTATTACAATTATTGATACTAATTAATATTATACTACTAATAAGTACTATCATTTCATAGATAATAATAATAAAAGTAATAATTTTAATTACTTTTTCCATTGTCCAAAATAATTCAGCCATACGTAGTTTACCGACTAAAATTGACCAGATTAAAAGTTCTCTAGCTGGAC